TGGATGGAGGATGGGTGGATAGATAGAAAATACGGTAGATAGATAGATAGATCAAAATAGATAGAGATTGATAATCAAGATAGACAGATAGATAGATCAAGATAGTCAGATAACATAGAGATTGATAAAGATAGCTAGATCAAGATAGTTTGATAGCTAGATCAAGATAGATAAGATAGAGATTGATAGATCAAGATAGACAGATAGATAGATCAAGATAGTCAGATAACATAGAGATTGATAAAGATAGCTAGATCAAGATAGTTTGATAGCTAGATCAAGATAGATAAGATAGAGATTGATAATCAAGATAGACAGATAGATAGATCAAGATAGTCAGATAACATAGAGATTGATAAAGATAGCTAGATCAAGATAGTTTGATAGCTAGATCAAGATAGATAAGATAGAGATTGATAGATCAAGATAGATAAGATAGAGATTGATAGATCAAGATAGATAGTTTGACAGATAGATAGATAGATAGATAGTTTGATAGATAGATTAGATATTGATCTTTGGATGGAAGGATAGATAGATAGTTAGAAGATAGATAGATACTGTAAGAAAGATAGAGACTGACAGATCAAGACAGATAGATAAGAAAGATTGATAGCTAGATAAATCAAGACAGACAGACAGAGCCCTTGATGGACCTTGCTCCTCTTCAGGGCTTCGTGCTTCTTTCAAAGAGGCTCTACCCCAAGAGCGAGTCCTGCCTGGCAGAGCGAAAGTAATTCCTAATTATAGACTGGAGGGGTGTGAAAAGGCAGCCCTGCTGATCAGCCTCCTGGCACGTTTCCGAGAGGGAGCCGAACCGAGCGAGCGGGGAACTTACCTTGAGCGTCAAGGAGAAGGGAGAGGAGCCAGTGCGGGCAGATCTCCTCCAGGACGGAGCAGAAGGCCGCCGAGGCCCCGGGACCTTTGCCGGTCAGCTTCTCCACCAAGGAGGCCGCTTGCTCCCGACAGGACACCACCTCTCGGTATTCCTCCCAGGAAAAGACCTTCTTGTGAAGCAGAGGGGACAGCACTTTCTCCACATCCAGCTCCTTCACAATCCTCTCCCGCTGGTTGCTTAGGATATTGTCGAACCAGAGATTCCAATCCCGCCTCTCCTTCTTTGCCGGCTGTGCAGAGTTATAAAACCAAGGCCGGGCTGGCAAACCGAACATGTTTGTGCTAAAAATAAGAAGGAGAAAAGGGGAGATTCTTAAGTCTGTCTCGTCGGCTCAGCTGCCTTCAGCAGGCAGCGATTCACAAGAGTCAGCACAAGGTGAGCAGAAGCACCTGGCCGGCCGTCTCCCGGCCCTGTTTACGCTCGTGCAGACCCCTAAGAGGATTACTGGTGCTCATTAGCCCTCTGGAAGCATTAACAGGCATCGCCACCAGCCTGGCCGGGAGACACAGGGCAGGCACCGAGAGACTGGGACTTTGAGGTGCGGCATTCCAGCAGAGGCACCTTTGCAGATTCGTTGCAAAGCCCAGGTTACCTGAACAGGTACGAAAACAAGAGAGAAGGACGCAGCGTCTGTGGACAACCCCCCAATTGCCCAGAATCCAAATTACAGACAGTCCTCGACTTCCTGCAGTTCATTTAGTGACCGCTCAAAGTTGCAACGGCACTGAAAAATGTGACTTGCGACTGTTTTTCACAGATACGACCGCCGCAGCATCCCCGTGATCGGGTGATCAAAATTCGGATGCTTGGCGACTGACTCACATTTATGACAAGGGGAGGGTCACGTGATCCCCCTTTTTGCGACCTTCTGTCAAGCGAAGTCAGTGGGGAAAGACAGATTCACTTAACAACCTGGGTTGCTAACTTGTCGGCTGCAGTGGTTCACTTAACAACTGAGGCGAGAAAGGTGATAAAATGTGTGGGAGGGGCAAAAATCACTTAACAAATGTCTCACTTAACAACAGAAACTTCAGGCTCAGTTTTGGTTGTAAGTCTAGGACTAACGGTATAATTCAATTTGCAATTCAGGACTGTTCTATGGTCCTTCAGGGTCAATTTATTTATTTATTTATTTATTTATTTATTTATTTATTTATTTATTTATTTATTTATTTATTTATTTATTTATTTATTTATTTATTTATTTATTTATTTATTTATTTATTTATTTATTTATTTATTTATTTATTTATTTATTTATTTATGGCATTGTGTTTTGCACATTTACACAAAAATGGATGGGTCTGGAATTTGGAGAGGAAACTTCACATTTCTAACAATTAGCACTCGGCACCGTTAACATTAAGGGTGTGTTCTGCCCCAGGTGGAATTAAGGGGTGCTTGTTAAAGCAGACTTTATAAATACTACCTACTTAACGAATTAGGATTAAGGGGAGAGAATCGCACAATTCCTGTCAGGGGTAATTATGCACCGGGCAGACACCCTTGGAAAAGCTGCGCTCGGGAGGTGTAAGCCTCTGCGGTTGGCTTTAGTTTTTACAAAATGACACCCCTGTCCCCACGAAGAGGGGCTATCTTTGGCCTGGGCCAGCTTCTTGTTGAATAGAATAGAGCTGGAAGGGACCTTGGAGGTCTTCTAGTCCAGCCCCCTGCTCAAGCAGGAGAACCTACACCATCTCAGACAAGGGACTGTCTAGCCCAGGGGTAGGCAACCTTGGCTCTTTCATGACTCGTGGACTTCAATTCCCAGAATTTCTGAGCCAACTATGCTGGCTCAGGAATTCTGGGAGTTGAAGTCCACCAGTCATAAAAGAGCCAAGGTTGCCTACCCCTGGTCTAGCCTCTTCTTGAAAATCTCCATTGATGGAGCGCCCATGATTTCTGGAAGCAAGCAGTTCCACTGGTTAATTGTCCTCACTGTCAGGACGTTTCTCCTTGTACTAAGCTTCTGATCTTCCTCACACGTAAAACACACACAAATGCACACAAATACACACACACACACGTTGCAGCATCAGCATCTTTTCAAAAGCATCTCTGCATTCTCCTTTGCAAAGCCCTACCAGTTAAAGCAGTGTGGGCAGCTTTCAGACCGGCGGGCTAGGGAATTCTGGGAGTTGAAGTCCACTCGTCTGAAAGCTGCCAAGGTTGGGAAACTGAGGTAATGGATGCTGAAATGGTTCTGTCCTTTCAATTTGGAGGGGAGGACGGGTGTGGATGTGTGTGTGTTTGTGTCCCAAAGAGGCTTTTATTTGCCGTTGTCTTCGGTATTTTAGATTTTTAATGCGATTCTAATAGTTTTTTTTCAGTTTTTGTGAGATTTTGCACCCCATGGAGCTTGTCTCATTCAGCAATACACTTTTTTCCCTGCTTATTATTATTATTATTTTTCTTCCCTTTAATATGTCCCACTTTGAAAACACGCTCGCCTTGCAGGGGTGGCGAATCCTTAATCTCAGGAGAAAAGAAACACTGAAGGGATAAAAAGAAATTTTTGAGGCCTCTGCCACCTAGGGAGCCTTAGAAATCTGCCACCTTGTAATTACAGTATCCTTATCCCTAGTGATTTATTAATTGTGGTTTAAGTTCTTGTATGTTGTCGCTTTGACGTAACTCTTGATTTTGTGGGGCCACCCAGACTCGGCTGCGGTTGGGTGGCATCAGAATGGGATGAGTAATAAATTTGAAGCTATGGTCATAAACCCTTCCTCTTTCCTTGTCTGCAGCCCACACAAATCTTCTCCAGCTGAGAATGCAAGAAAGGGTTGCCACCTTCCCTGATACTTGGAAAGAAATAACAGAATAACAGAGTTGGAAGGGACCTTGGAGGTCTTCTAGTCCAACCCGTTGTTCTGGCAGGAGATCCAGTACCATTTCAGACAAATGGCCGTCCAGTCTCTTCTTAAAAACCTCCAGTGTTGGAGCATTCATTGCTTCTGGAGGCAGGTAGTTCCACTGGTTAATTGTTCTAACTGTCAGGAAGTTTCTCCTTAGTTCTAGATTGCTTTTTTCCTTGATTAGTTCCCATCCATTACTTCTTGTTCTGCCTTTGGTTGTTTTGGAGAATAGTTTGACTCCCCTCCTCTTTGTGGCAGCCCCTCAAATATTGGAACACTGCTATCCTTAATCCTTCTTTTCATTAAACTAGAGGTATCCAATTCCTGCAGCCGTTCTTCATGTTTTTAGCCTCCATTCCCCCTAGGAGAAAGAGGAAAAATGGAAAGTGAAAAGATGGGGAAAGGAGGAGGGAAGGAGGGAGGGAAAAAGAGAGAGATGGAGCGACATGGCAGACATGGGATGGGCAGATTCTCCCATATCTCCTCTGGGGTCCCACTCAAGAGGCCTGGTGGCCCCACTGGTGTCCACTCATGTTGAAGTTGTGGGTGCTCCATCACTGGAGGTTTTCAAGAAGAGACTGGACAGCCACTTGTCTGAAATGGCATTGGGTCTCCTGCTTGAGCAGGGGGCTGGACTAGAAGACCTCCAAGGTCCCTTCCGACTCGCTGATTCTGTTAATTCTTCTCGGCCATCCGATGGCTTCATTCCTTTCCTCTTGAGAGGGGGAAAACCAGAGCAGGAGACAAGAAAAAATGTCTGCAGGGTCACCTGAGGCCCCCAAATTTCCCACAGGAATCCTACCCTGGCACGGTTTTTTCCTTCACATCTCTGAAGGGGGAGGGAGGGAGGGGGGGTCCAAAAAGTCAAGATGGCTGCCAAGGACGCCCCTTCCTTCTGGTGAGGGAGGCCCAAGTAAAGGGGCGGGGCTCCAGGGACACGCCCCCCTCGTGCCTTCGGAGGGCCCGCAGGCGTCCCGCCCACTTTTTCCGCTAAGCGATACATTATTGCAGTTCCTTCCTTCCTTCCTTTTTCTCTCTCTCCTCTCCTTCCCTCTTTCTCTTTCCTTCCTTTTCTCTCTCTCTTTTTCTCCTTCCCTCTTTCTCCTTCCTTTTCTCTCTCTCTTTTTCTCCTTCCCTCTTTCTCCTTCCTTTTCTCTCTCTCTCTCTCTCTCCTTCTTTCCTTCCTGGGGGCGGCCAGCGTCTCAATCAACCCGGCCGGGCCCTCCTCCTTCCCCGCCCGGGCGATGGCGGCGGCGGCGGCGGCGGCACGGCTGGCCCGGCAGGAGCGCGAGGTGCGGGGCTTGGCGGCCGAGGTGGTGCGGCTGAAGGAGGCCTCGGCCTGGGCGTCCCCCGAGCGGCCGGGCCCGGAGCTGCGGGCGCTGCGGGAGGAGAACGAGAAGCTGCGCTACCGTCTCCACCACCTCCGCCGCAGCCTCGCCGCCGAGCAGGGCCGCCAGGTGGGTGAGCCCATCATCCCCGGCCCCTGGGGAGGGGGAACGGAGAGCGCAGCTCCCACCTTTCCCCGGGCTAGAGGGGGCACAGATTGCAGGTCCCATCGTCCCCAGCCCCTTGGTGGAATGGACAATACGTCACCCACCATCCCCGGCCTAGAAAAAGACAGACTGCAGCTCCCATCATCCCCAGCCCCGAAGGGAAAGGGACGATGCAGCTCGCACCATTTCCCAGCCTAGAAGTGGACTGCAGTTCCCATCCTCCCCAGCCCCTTGGGAGAATGAACAACAGATCTCCCACTATCTCCTGGCCTAGAGGGGGGCACAGACTGCACCTCCCATCATCCCCAGCCCCTCAGGGCAATGGGGACCACAGCTGCCATTGATCACCTCCCAATCCTCCATCCCCACAAACTCCGAAATCCCTGCCTGATAATTTCATTTTGCAAAGTAATGCCCTTCTCTTTAATCAGGACCTTCTGGAGACAAAGACTGAAGACACCCCGAGAAAGCAGGAAAAGGAGCAGAAGACGGAGCCCCAAGCTGCAGAGGGGGGGCCAGAAGAAGTAGGTGGTCTTTCGGGGGGGGACTGCCTTTTGCTGGGTGGGGTGGGGCTCGGATTGATGAGCTTGAAGAAGCCTCGATCTAACATTTTCCCTGCTGGGACAGGTGAAACACCTCTTTCTGGATGCTGGTTCAAAAAAAAAAAAAAGCAGCCAATCCCCTTCTTTTAAATGGGGGAGGGGTCTTTCAATAGCCCCCTAGCCTAGTCTGAATGGTGGGAGCAGCCCAGCCTTCTCCAAGTTGGCGGCTGGTCCAGATTGTGCCAAGCTTCTTTGGAAGGACCAGTCCTTGGCATCATGGCACAAGTGTAACACAGGTGCTCCCTTCAGATTGTACCTGGCTGCAGGTAAACTCTGCCAGGTGCCCTTTTACTGTTCTTGCAGGATCCGACCTTCATCTGGAGCAGACTGGAGCTCTACGAAGAGCTGAAAAAAGAGAGCGATGCGCTTCTGCAGTCCAGAGCATCTGGCCAGACTCAGACAATCCAAATCACGCTTTCCGATGGGAAGGTGATGGGCGGACAGGCCTGGAAGACAACGCCACACCAGGTGGCTGTCGATCTTAGGTAAACTTTGACCGTGTTCGCAGATATTTCTGAGAAGGCAATCCAGGTTCCGCGTTTATAGGTAAACCAGGATGGCTGTAATGATAACTCTCTTGAAATAAACGTGACAACTTCGGTCTTTTCTACCTGTGATTTATAGCTGGCTAGTAATTTTAGGAAGATGGTGAGCAGAGCAAGACCCACAGGTTAAAAAAAAAAAAAGGACCACAAATGAATCTTGAACACCTTAAATATCACAGATGTATAACTGAAAAGGTAATTTGGAAGCAGTGTTTCTCAACCTTGAGCACTTGGAAGATGGGTGGACATCAACTCCCAGAATTCCCCAGCCAACATGGTAAGCTGGGGAACTCTGGGAGTTGGTATCCACCTCTCTTCAAGTGCCCAAGGTTGAGAAACTCTGCAAGTGATGGGTGTGGTTATACATCTATTATTATTATTATTATTATTATTATTATTATTATTATTATTATTATTATTATTATTATTATTATTATTATTTAGATTTATATCCTGCCCTTCTCCTCGTAGGACTCAGGGCGGCGGACAATCAATTAAAATACATAAATGACAATACAAGTTTAAAATTAATTAAAAGAAATATTAAAGATTGTCCAATTTAAAATATTGATTAAAACCCCTCTAAAAATTACCCTAGGCCAGTCCTGCGAGCTGGAATAACCAAGTCTTGAGGGCGCGGCGAAAGGAAGGGAGATCAGGGATAACCCTGATCTCGGGGGGCAGTTCATTCCAGAGGGTGGGAGCTCCCACAGAGAAGGCCCTCCCCCTTGGGGTCGCCAGCCGGCACTGTTTGGCCGACGGCACCCTGAGGAGGCCCACTCTATGGGAGCGTACAGGTCGATGGGAGGTACTCTGCGGCAGGAGGCGGTCTCGAAGGTATCCGGGTCCGATGCCATGGAGCGCTTTAAAGATGATAGTCAGCACCTTGAAGCGCACCCGGAAGGCCACAGGCAGCCAATCTATATTTTAATGCTTCTTGTTTTGTCCCTTTCTCTGCGACCGCAGAATTAAAACATCCAGTGCAGTCCAAAAGAGATTACCTTGAGTCGAAGCTGGAGGGGACTGTTGGGTTATTTGAACTATGCAGCAGCAAAACCTTTGTCCCATGTTGACTGTCCGTAGCTGGGGAGTTGCTGACAGTGTCGTCATTGCCAGAGTGAACGGGGAATTGTGGGACCTTGACCGGCCGATGGAAGGAGATTCCACCTTGGAGCTGCTGACATTTGAGAATGAAGATGCCCAGGCGGTAAGTCGATGTTTTCCCTTTTTCCCTGCAAAGCATTTTTGAAGGCAGAAGCTCTGATGAAAGAGGACAAACCATGTTGAAAAGGCTGCTCCATCTTGGCTATGCAAAACAGGCTAGTTTTCCCAATGGATGTGAGGAACCTCCTTATCTAGGTTAGATGCTGGTGATACAGGATTTGTGCTGATGTGTCTGTTTAATTTTAGCAGCCCAAATAACAACCGCTCAACACTGGAAAACTTTAGATAACATAATATGTGAATTAACGAGGCCTCTTCAGTTGCCCCACTAGGAAAAGAATCACAGAGTTAAAATAATTTGACATCAGAGGCAGGAATCAGTTTTATCTAACTTGGGTGGGTTTTATGGTTTACCTCAAAAGTAAAAAACTATAATATGGTATATGTTAGATAAATGGTAAATTTGTATATGTAGAGTACATATATATGTGTATATATATATATATATATATATATATATATATATATATATATATATATATATATATATATATATATAAACTATAATATGGTATATGTTAGATAAATGGTAAATTTGTATATGTAGAGTACCTATATATATATAATGTTAATTCAATATTGTTAATTGTAGTTCAATAAAAACAACAGAAGCAACTAACTTCCCTGGCAGCTGGATTAATACCAACTCACCACCCCAATGTTGACTTTCATAACTGTGGGTCCAGATTGCTTTCTCTTTTCTAGGTTTATTGGCATTCCAGTGCCCACATTCTGGGTGAAGCCATGGAAAATTATTATGGGGGATGCTTATGTTATGGACCCCCTATTGAGAATGGCTTCTATTATGACATGCACATGGAAAACAGGTATGTTCTGCCAGCTAGAATTTATACGTGGCTTTTTCATCCACGGTGTCCAAAGTGCCTTGCAATAATCAAGGATTCTTCGGCTAAATTAAAAATAAGTCCTTGTAATGGTTACAGATAGTTCTCGATTTATGGCCATAATGGAGCCTGCCCATTCCAGTCATAGGTTGTGACGATCAGAAAGTAGGTCACCCTTGTGACAGACCCAATTTTTACGACAGGCAGTGTTTGTGAAGGGAAATGCAGTTGTAAACAAAATGCATTTTGGTGTTTTTGCTAAAAACCAGAAATAAATGCATGCTTTTTGGGGAAAAAAAGTCATAATAAAAGGCAGTCATGTGACTGCAGGATGCTGCAAAGTTTTTTTTTTTAACAATGTCTTTGTATATAAATTACCTGCAATACCCAGAAATAATTTAAGAACTTTTTGGCAGTTAGGGTGTCCTCACCTGGGGGAAAGGGATGTAGGACTCACCTGCTGTGCGTAGGCGAGCCCAGCTTCGTTCTGCCGAGGGTGCAGCTGGCGCCCCTGATTTTAAATTCTCCTCTCCTCCAGAGGGGTTTCCAGTACAGAGTTGCTCACTCTGGAGAACATTTGCAAAAGCATCATCAAGGAGAAACAGCCCTTTGAAAGGCTCGAAGTCCGAAAAGAAGATTTGCTGGAAATGTTTAAAGTAAGTGCTCCATTTCTGAAGTCATGAAGTTCACAAAGGAGAGAGGACAAGGTCTGAGAAATCAGCATAAGATTTTCCTGAGTTGTTTTGGAGCTTATAGTATTGTATTATAGTATTGTAAGCCACCCAGAGCTAACCCTGCAGTAAGATGGACAGCCAATACATTTGATAGATAAAATGAATAAACCTCTAGTCCCATCCTTGGCTTTTTGGAATTCAGGGATGATGTAACGAGGTTCAGCCCAGATGGAAAACCAGGATAGACAGCATGGGCCCCCCCAAGGCTAAGTCTCGGTATATTTATTTTGCCAATTTCTTTATGTTTCTGCACAGTATAACAAGTTTAAATGTCGGATCCTAAATGAGAAAATCCACACACCGACCACAACTGTATACAGGTAACCAGATGGATTTAATTTTTTTGTGTTAAAATAATACTCCCTCTTAACTAGAGAGGAGCAGCTTGTAAAATAAATGTTGGTTAGGGTTAACAAATTATGATGTTGCTGTGGAGGTTTAGAGCTATTTCAGTACAGTCATGTTTATTTGTGGTGGGGATCTAAGTGGCTAATAACTTGAATGTAATTAACTGTTTCACTGATAATCTAATAGGTGCGGTCCCTTGATTGATTTATGCAAAGGTCCCCATGTGAGACACACTGGAAAAATAAAAGCCTTAAAGATAATTAAGGTAAGGGGGATTTTTTTTTCTTTTTGTAGAAAGTTGAATAGTTGGGATAAAATTCCAGACCCAATTCAAAACATTGGTTTTAACCAATAGAGCAATTTTTCTCAACCTTGGCAACTTGAAGAGATGTGGACTTCAACTCCCAGAATTCCCCAGCCGGCTTCGGGAATAATATAAATATATAAATATAAACAGGGTGTATAAAGAACGAAGAGTATGTGTTGAGTTTTATCAAGAAACACCAGGCAGATTCTTTTGTTCCTGGAAAGGATTCAGACAAATGTTTCTTAATCTGGGCAATTTCAAAATGTGTGGACTTTAATTCAGCTGGCTGGGGAATTCTGGGACTTGAAGTCCATACATCTTAAAGCCACTAGGTTTGAGAAGCACTGATTCAGATGATCTGACAGCATAGTGGCGCATTTATCTCTCAAACTCTTAAATCATCGCTTTGCCTCACTTTTTGGTGTGTTTTTATTTTGTTTTGGGTCAATGTTTTGCGTTATTAGAATTCGTCGACCTATTGGGAGGGGAAATCCAACATGGAAACCTTGCAACGGATCTATGGAATCTCTTTCCCAGAGGCCAAAATGATGAAGGAGTGGGAAAAATTCCAGGAAGAAGCCAGAAAACGGGATCACAGGAAAATCGGCAAGGTGGGCTTGGACTTTGAGGGATAAACTCAAAGTGAAGCTTCTGATGGGGACTGAATAGCATCCAGATTTACGGTGGCCTTTGGGGAATGGCCTAGAGGCCCCTGTCAGAAATCTGGGGTGTACGTTTGAAGCCTGTGCAAGAAAATTCAGGGGGCTATTGTGCGTCCATTGTTGCCTTTGAGAATTACACAACTTCACCCCAAGGAGGTTGACTGTGGTGCCTTTGGTGCTTTCTGAGCTGGGTTGTTTGCTTGCAGATGTTTCGTGACCCAACTAGGTAACATCTTCAATTTTAGAAGGGAGTGGGGTTTGCAAGAAATCGTCAACCCTGAGCTGTAAATATTTCTTCTCTTGGTAAGGCTGACTCTTCTTTTAACTTTGGGTGACTGTACAGGAACAAGAACTCTTCTTTTTCCATGATCTGAGCCCTGAAAGTTGTTTCTTTCTTCCCCGAGGAGCTTTTATTTACAACACCCTCTTGGAATTCATCAAAGTAAGTGCATCTATAGAGCAGTGTTTCTCGGGAACGTTAAGATGTGTGAACTTCAGCTCTCAGAATTCCTCATAATCTTACACTACATACAAGAAGCTCAGTGTGTCTTTCTTGGTTTTTGGAGACCGACAATGGTTATGTACAGAAATGAAGTGTGTATAAATGAGACATACCTTTTTTCTGATGAAGTATCTCTTGGTCTGAGATACTTGGTCTGCAAGTCTAGCATAAAACAGATGAACCTTTAAGGACCTCAGATCAAATGTGGTCAGCACGCGTGAAGGGTATATTTTGTCCATCACCTATTCACTACCTGTGATGGGATGGAGTCTGGAGTCCCGGGAGGGGAGGGAGGGGCTGCTTTCCAGAGGGCAAAGAGGCAACCAAGCTTGGAGTATCTGGCAGGCAGGAAGAAGGCGAAGATGGTCTCTCCCTAGCAGTTCACAGAGTATGCATAATAGTTCTGCAGATAGTTGCTTTAGTCTGGCAAGAGTCTGTCTGTAGGAACAATAAAGAGACTCCTCGCCGGTATCTCCATGTGTCGAACTTGGTTCTTGGGGCCTGACACCACCACCTCTTGTACAGGAAGAGTATCAGCGGCGGAACTTCATGGAAGTCGTTTCGCCCAATATCTACAACAGTAAACTTTGGGAAACTTCTGGCCACTGGCAGCATTACAGCGAAAACATGTTCTCATTTGAGGCGGAAAAAGAAGTCTTTGCGCTGAAGCCCATGAACTGTCCTGGACATTGGTGAGGGTTTCTGTCTTTCTTCTCCCCAGCAGGTTAAGGAGTTAAGCCAGGGGTCTTCAAACTTGGCCCTTTTATGACTGGCGGACTTTAACTCCCAGAATTCCTCAGCCAGCGTGTCTAGCTGAGGAATTCTGGGAGTTGAAGTCCACCAGTCATAAAAGGGCCAAGTTTGAAGACCTCTGAGTTAAGCCCTTGGGGGTTCCTACCACCGATGACATGTCGAAATCCCACAGGGAAAGTGAGTCATGGGATCTGCATAACTTGAGATGAATGTTGTTGCTTGATCTAGCAAACTTCTCCGCATCTCTCCCAGCCTGATGTTTGCTCATCGTCCTCGGTCTTGGAGGGAGATGCCTCTGAGACTGGCTGATTTTGGGGTGCTTCACCGTAACGAACTTTTGGGGACCCTCGGTGGTCTGACGCGGGTCCGACGCTTCCAACAAGACGATGCCCACCTCTTCTGCACAATGGAGCAGGTAGTGCAGGGAAGTAAGGAAGGGAGGTGGCCTTTAGGAAAATACTAGATCCTTTCACCTTTGAAGTTCCTGCTGCTGGACCTCTTTAACTTTCAGATCGAGGAGGAGATGAAAGGATGCCTCCATTTCCTGCAATCCGTGTATGCCGTCTTCGGGTTCACCTTCCAGTTACATCTTTCCACCAGACCCAGCAACTTCCTAGGGGAGAAGGAGATCTGGGATCAGGCGGAGAAGGTGATCGTGGCAGGGTGTGGAGACAGGGGCAGAGCACGGGTGGGATTTTAAACATAATTCTTCTCGTTTGCAACTTCAGCAACTTCAGAACAGCTTGGATGACTTTGGGGAACCTTGGAAACTCAATCCAGGTGATGGAGCGTTTTACGGGCCCAAGGTTAGTGAGCGGCTCCGGGTTCTCACCGAAACCTTACCCGTGAATGCAAGCTCCATTCTGCCCAGGCAGTCCTCCATTTATGACTATAATTGGTACCAGAATTTCCATCGCTAAGCAATGTAGACAGTGAATTGCACCTAATTTTATGACCTTTTTGTTGACAGCTTGTCTGAAGCCTGCTGGGAAGGTCACAGATTTATTTATTATATTTGTTTACTTAGAGGATTTTTTTTCCCCAGTGGCTTTGGGCAGCTTACAAAAAAATGAAAACCCAATATGCAAATAGTCAAAATGACAACCATCAATCAATCAAACCCCTTGAAGGGCTCCAGCCCACTCTGGGGTCTCCGGGCCCCTTGGCCAAGCCAGGTCTTGAGGGCCTTGCGAATGGCAATCCCATGACCCTGAGATGCTGCAACAGCCTGTTGCCAAGTGCCCGAATTTTGATCACGGGGATGCTGTGACAGTTGTAATTTTTGAGGAGCAGCGCGAGTCACTTTCTTTGTAGCTTTGAATGGTTGTTAAAATGAATGGTCAGAACTGAAAGGCTGCCTGTAAATGTGTCCTTTGCAGATTGACATTACAATCAAGGACGCTATCGGTCGATACCACCAGTGTGCTACAATCCAGCTGGACTTCCAGCTACCCCTCCGGTTTAATCTGACTTATGCTGGGTAAGTGTCAACAATGCAAGAACCGAAGCCCTTCCTCTCAAGGAAGAGCTGAGGAATCGGAGGAGCTTTGGATGGATTTGCAGAAAAGGCTGTGATCAACTTCAGAAAGAAACTAAAAGAAGGTGAAAACAGGAACCAGTGGAGAAAAGGTGACTGAGCAAAGGTGGCAGCAACGAGGCGAGGTGGAATTAAACCAGTTCGCATACAGAGTCCCTTGATCTGTACTTACTTAGGCAGTTCCTGACTATCCTTTAATCCAACTGTGTTGCTACAAGGATTAGAGAATCTTTATATTTGATATTTGAGCATCCCTGGTGCTCTCTGAGCTTGGTTGTTTTCTTGCAGACCCAAAGGTGTTTTTTCATGAGGCAATTGGACTTTCTTGTTTTTTCTTTGAAAACGTCTTGCTTCTCATCCAAGAAGCCTCTGAAGGTAAACCAAGAAAGTCCAGTTGCCTCTTGAAAAAGCACCTTTGGGACAACCATGACCTGGACGACTGAGAATCTCCGTAGACATTTTCTTGCAGACATTTCATTACCCAACGAGGTAACGTCATCAGTGCCAGCTGTAAAACTGGAGGAAGGAACTTTTCATTGGGCAAGGGAGGAGGGATAGGAGCAGTAGAAACTTCAGTCCTTAGATAGATATTTGATGACAACCACCTTGAAAGCTCTCTAAGCGGCAGGGAATGGCCAGAACCTCAGCCTTATTGGGCCGTGTTGCATGACAGATCGAACCCAAATGAAAAGGGCAGCAAGAACGAAGTCGAAACGTGTTCATTTGTCTCGCTTTTCAGGAAAGACGGCAATGACAAGATGAGGCCCGTGATCATCCACCGAGCAATTCTGGGCTCCGTGGAGCGGATGATGGCTATCCTGGCAGAAAACTACAGTGGAAAATGGTGGGCAGCTGATCTTGGAAGGAGAAAAGGCTTCTTGTAGGTTGTCAAAGCGATGTTTAAAAATGGCTAACCTCGGCCGTTCCTTTTCTCGTCCAGGCCTTTTTGGCTCTCCCCTCAGCAAGTCATGGTGGTTCCCGTTGGCCCCACCTGCGAAGAATATGCCCGCCAGGTAAGAGTGGAGATGTCTATAGAAAGGAAGAGCAGGGAAGAGAGAACTTGTGGGTTTGTAGTTGGCCACAAGTGAAAAAAATGCCCCGTCTTGATGCTTCGAAATGTAGTTGTGGACATTTCAATTGTGGGTACTGCAACACGGGAGATGTTTAAGAAGAGATTGGGCAACCTCTTGTGTGAAATAGTATAGGGTTTCCTACCCGAGCAGGGCTTAGACTAGAAGACCTCCAAGGTCCTTTCCAACTCCGTTGTCCTGTTAAGATGCCCGAGTTGCTTTCTTAATCTCTATTTTACACACTTGTCCTGCAAAGCTGTTGAGCTAAAAATAACAGTATTTCTTCATGTTTAGGTCTGCAATGCAGCTTCTGAAGCTGGACTTATGGCTGATGTTGATTTGGATCAGAGCTCCACCTTGAATAAGAAAATAAGGAATGCACAGCTGGCTCAGTATAATTTCATTTTTGGTATCTATGCTATCCGCTTTTAACGTTAACCTGGCTCTCCCTTTGTTCAAGAGTGGAAGCTCCTTCAGCCTTGGGCCACGTCCGGCCTCTGCTGGCTGGAAGGGGTGGAATTCTTTGCTCAGTTGAGAGCCAAGAATAACCTTAGGGTTTCCTGCCTGAGCAGGGGGTTGGACTAGAAGACCTCCAAGGTCCCTTCCAACTCTTTATTATTGTTATTGTTTTTATTATTATTGGATTAGGAAGAGTTATGTGAATAAATCGTATCCCCACTATACAAGAGCCTCCTTGTCAAATTAGAAAGAAATGCCATTAATATTTCTTGCAACCAGTTATGCCATAACTTAAGTTACGCCGGTCGTTAAAGCAAGCCATCACATGAGCAACCCAATTTTATGACTTTTTTTGCGGTGGTACCAAAGCAAACAGCGGTTATTAAGCACCCCCCCTTTTTTTAATACATAAATGCTGGTTTTCAACAAAAAAAAATCGTAAATTGTGGTCATGTAACTACAGGCCACTAGAAATGGCCACAAATTCAGTCCCGTTGCCTAATGACCAAACTGGATCACAAATCCGGGTCGTACCTTTCTTGAAGTCTGTAATTTTGGTCACTAAGTGACCGGTCTGTGTGTAAATGAGAACTTTAGATTTGTACGACTTAAAAGTTCCTTAAAGGACAATTCTTTGACATAATCCTGACAGTGCGATCTTTTAAATGCTACTCAGCGATATCCGGGTTTTTTAAAAACAGCCCTCCCTAAAAATTAACCGTCCTGTGAGGCGTCGTCACACTAACCTTGTTTCCTGGCAGTGGTCGGAGAGAAGGAGAAAGCAGGTGGTGCCGTGAATGTGCGGACCCGGGACAACAAGATTCACGGAGAAGTTTTGGTTTCTTCTGCCCTTGAGAAACTACAGAGGTTGAAAGCCTCCCGTACTTTACACGCAGAGGAAGAATTCTAGTCGTCGCCAACAGAGAACGAAGAAAACTGGCCATCTCCTGATTGCGGTCTACTTGGAGCTAAGTTTCATTCAGTTGATTGAGCCTTGTACTTTCTGGAAACCCAGAAAGGTGGAAGTGCAGCCTTGGATGACTTGCCCTTGTCTGGCATTGCAACATTTCTAGTCACCGAAAGTTGGTGGATGGCAGTTTTCTTGATATACAGTGCAAAGTTGAAACCACTTTTAGATTTGTTTGGCTGTTTGCATGCATGTTTTTTTTTAAAAAAGGAAAACAGAGTTCCAAAGAAAATGGCTCGAGCCTCACATAGCAGGGATCTCCAAACTTGGCTAAGACTTGTGCACTTCAATACCCAGCTTGGCTGGCTGGGGAATTCTGGGAGTTGAAATCCACGAGTCTTAAAGTGGCCAAATTTGGAGATCCTTGTCCTAGTAGTATAAGAGTTTCCCTATGCTATGGATATTTATTTATAAGTGTGGTTGCTGCTATTTTTTGGTGGGGGAGCAGAATATCCTCCCCATGAACAGAAGTATTTAAGACTCTGAGCCTCCTTTTTTTATAGGTGACTTTTAAAATGTTAGTTTATCTCATGATATATGATAAGCAGATTTAAGGTCACAGAAAGAAAGGCAGAGTGGTTCAGCATCAGGGTAGAAACCAGGAGACCATGAGTTCTAGTCCTGCCTTAGGCATGGAGCCAAGTGGGTGACTTAGGGCTGGTCACTTTCAGCCCTCGGAAGGAAGTAAACGCAAACCACTTGCATCTTCCTGCATTGGTTATGTCACTGGAGAGTATCTTAAGAAAGCTGCAGAAAACTCTCCACAGCTGGAGCTTTTAAATTGAGGGATGCCATAAGGAGTGTGCTTTGCTTCTTGGGCTGAATAAAACTAGAACATTCATCTTGGTACCGTCTTGATCTGCTTCTTTCTTTCTTTCTGAAGTTACAATTTATCGTACTGCACATTCACATCACATTTTGATTAAAAAAAACTAAGAGATAAAAATATAAATACATGTCCAGGTCTCTCTCTCTCTCTCTCACACACACACACACACGGAAATCAGCCTCCATTATAGGCTCTGTTTTGGCACTCTGTCACTATATGCTGGATGGTTTGTAATAATAACTTTAAATAGCCAGCTCCATCTTTAACGCTTGTAGGGATGATTATGAAACAACACCAATGCTTTGTGCTAACCTAAATTTGTTTGATGTAGCAAGGAAATAGCACTGTAAGCTTTTTTTTCCCCCATAAAAAAAATAAAGGATCTCCAAAACAGAAAGAAATCTACAACCAGCCAAGCATCCACAACTCATTTATTTTGCCTTAAAAATAAAGGCAGGCCAAGTACAGATACTGTACATTAAACAGACGTGCAAGCAATTCCAGATAGATCATTCAAGTCCGATCTGTGAATATCTCAGGGTGATCCACCTGATTGTTTCGATGGTTAGATGTAGAGCGAACCGTCTGTGGGACCCACGTACCCAACTCCAATCAGGAGCACATCTATCAGCGTCCAGATCCCCAGACCGCCAAAACTGAAGAGTTTGCCAAGCCCCTCCCGCCACTGTCCCAGGTAGAACCGGTCTGCACCAAAGCCACCGAGCGTGATGCTGAAAGACGACACAAGAATGGGTTAGAAACTGCCTGGGCCTATTGAGCTTTGCAACAAAGAGAATAAATGTATTGCAAAAAACAAGGACTGCAAACGCTGATTGTATTGCTCTGTAATACAATGCAATGAAAGAAGTAATCCTGCCAGTTTGGCGAGTTAAAAATTGTGAGACATTTTGCTTACTCAACATGTAGATTACCATTTCTTTCCAGCAGCCTGAATTTTAAAGATTTTTGTTTTAAAGCACTATCCAAATATTATCCAGAGGTTGGTGCTTCTTTTCCTACCTTAAGGCCAAGGCTGTTGACCATTTGTAGCCTCCAGTCCAATTGCAATAGAGCATCTTGGGAAAAGTACGGTTTCCTTTAAAAAGACAAATGTACATATCTTTAAAGTGCGATTGCAAAGATTTGTGCAGCCAGTGCAGAAAAGAAAACAAGGTACAGCCTGATCACTGTTATCACATGCAAATTTGTCACTGCAACAAGAATGATACTGTATGCCCAGTATTTGGGGCACAGAGAAAAGAAAATATCAGTTGCAGCTTTTCGAAACATAAGTTCATTATTTCTTTCAGAATACGAAGCTAAAGATTTACAAGGCAGCTTCCAGGTCCTGCAGGAAAAGAGGGCAGGTTAACCAAGCTTGTGAGTTGTGTGGCTTACCTAGACAATGGATGTGGTCTTTCACAGTGCAATTGGCCATGTAGCGTTGTCGTGGGCACGACACTGTCTTGCAGTTGTTCGGATTGGAGCAAAGGTAGCTTGAGGGTGGCAGCTGCCAGCAAAATTGGCAAGTCATGTTAATCAAGAAAGTCTTCTGAGGATTGTTATTTTGATCCTGCAAAGGAAGCAGTGAAAGTCATCCTCCTCCTGAGGGTAATTCAGAGCTAAGATCAGTGCTTCTCAACCTCATCAAGTTTAAGAGGTTTGGACTTCAACTCCCAGAATTACCCAGCCAGCATGGCTGGCTAGGGAATTCTGGACACTGAAGTCCACATTTCTTTAAAGTTCCCACGGTTGAAAAATTTAGATTAAAAGTAATCATATGTTTTTGCTCAGTCGATGTTTCATCTCTGTAGCTGATCAACCACACAGTTCAGTCCTAATAGAAATCAAGGCTGTTTAACAAAATCATTTAAATCATTGTGATGTTTTTGCTAGTTGAGAGTTCTGTAATTGTATCGACTAATTACTTATTCCTATTCGAACTAAACACCATGTTCATGTCATGTTGGTTTATTTATAAAGAAAGGTTTTTTTTTACTTACAACACAATGGACCTGGGGTTTGACTTCACATTCAAATGCAACTGGCTTGCCATAGATACAAGAATAGTTTGTTCTACAGATCACACATTCCGGAGGTAGTCGGTTACAAATCCCATTACTGGGACATTGGGTCACATAAGTTGGAACTGAGGTGCCCTCTGGAGAAATAAAATCCAGTTGTTAAAAAAAGGCTTCAGTATCTTCCATAAAATAACACGTATGAAACTTTTTCAGAGTACTTGGAACTCCATTACCATTTCCTAATGAATATGTATTTATTGCTCTTATTTTAGCAAAATACCTCTCAATTCTACAAGTAGCCACTCATAGGACTACTCCCTCCCCGAGGGAGACGGGTGGTTAAGAAATATGAAATATAAATAGTTAACTGAGATAACGTGGCCCTGAATGCGTTTTTCTTACAGGACAATAACTTGCCTAGGAAAAAAAACCCGGACGAGTTCTGCTTCCCTGCAATTAAGCTTAACCGAATTTTAGACATTTTTACAATGCTGTGCCCCCCCCCCTGAGGAAATGATAGCTGCCTTTCATCTGGACAACACAAGTGACCGAGAAAAGCTGACTATGACTTTCAAAATTAAAACTAGCAGATTGGATTAAGCCAGTGGTGGCGAACCTGTGGCACTCAGAGCCCTCTCTGTGGGCACGCGCACCGTCGCCCCAGCCTCGCCTCCCCCCACAGCCCCCTCACCAGCAGCCCCCCCAGAGGAGTCGCCCTTGAGCATGGCCCACGCAGAGCAGTGCAGCCAAGGACATGGCAGTCGGGCAGCAGGGACATGACTCCGCCCTTGCACCCTGTCGCATGCAGTTGATGCTGCAGGGCGCAGGTGGAAGGCATGGCTGCCATAGCACTGCTGGGCTGCTTGGGTGATCTGCAGCAGGCCGTAGTGGATGGCCCTGCAGGTGGGGGCGGAGCGGGCAGGGGTGGGGGGCGGAGCAGGGGCGGGTGGAGAGGGGCCGGTTTTTGGGTACTCGGTCTCTAAAAAGTTCGGCATCACTGGATTAAGCTGATTCTCATGAACTGTGTAGTGCCCATGGAGGTTAAAAAAGTATTGCTGGAATGTTTCAGAAAGCAGGACCGTTCCAAAAGCAAGTGACAGGATTTTAAACATGGCGTACCTGCTGGCACTTTGGATGCTGGGATATGGGTGCTTGAAGGGACCCCGGCAATCTTTGAGAGCGAAGCCTGTGGATGAGAATGCTCCAAGCTCAGCGACCCTGGAAAAGCAGAGAGAACAAATGATACACCTGGATGCTAAGCGCACTTAATAATAATAATTAATAATAATAATAAAAAAATTGGAAGGGACCTTGGAGGTCATCTAGTCGAACCCCCTGCTCAGGCAGGAAACCCTATACCATTTCAGACACTTTGTATCTCCCACTTAGAATGGGAGATACAGGTTGAAATCCATTGGGGCCCTGAGAGAAGGTAGTCCTTGATTGATGAGTACCACTGAGGCCAAAATTTCTGTCGCTAAGTGGGACGGTTGTTAAGTGAGCTTTGGCCCATTTTGCGATCTTTCTTGCCACAGTTGTTAAGCGAATCACTGCAGCAGTCAGGTTAGTCACATGGCTGTTAAGTGAATCTGGCTTCCCCACAGACTGCTTGCCAGAAGGTCCCAAAAGGGGATCCTGTGACCCCCTGGGACACCGCGACCGTCATAAATATGAGTCAGCTGCCAAGCGTCCGAGTTTTGATCACGCGACCACAGGGAGACTTCAAAGGTCGTTCAGTGTGAAAAACAGCCACAAGTCATTTTTTTCAGTGCTGTTGTAGCTTCGAACGGACACTAAACGAACTGTTGTATGGTGAGGACTGCCTGCCCAGGTTTATAACTTTATGACTTCTCTGCGGCTACAGAACCCATCCTAAACCCCAGCATTGGCATGCTGTTGTCCTTGCTGCTGTCTTTTTATTTATTTATTTTTTCTTTCCCACCATGCTTGCAACCCATTCTGTCCCCCCCACCCCGATGGGGAAGGCGACCCCTCCTTCGCTGGTCTCCTCGAACCCAGAGCCCTGTTCCAAAACTGAGGCCTCCGCAGGCTGGGGAGGAAGCCCACCCCTCCCTCCAGAGAAGACCCCCCCTGGGGGGGGCCTCCAACAGCTCTCCCAGGGCTGAAGCCCACTTACTCAATTGAAGGCAGCTCCAGAAGACCGGGCAAGGCTTCCCTGAGCATGTGCAGAATGCAACCCTCACCCCACCCCACCCTTGCATACTCCTGTTAGGAGCCCCTCCCCCCCGCACCCCGGGGGCCCTCAACCCTCCCCCATAAGCGGCCTATTCGCCCCCCCAGGAGGCTGCACAGATTGGCTTAATTAATTAACGGGTCTTTTTATTAAGGCGGGGGAAAGCTTCGCCCCCTCCCCGTTTCTCACCCCGGCCGGAGAGGACGTAGAGCTGCGAGAGGAAAACGGCCACGCAGCAGAGCCGCTTCAGCGCCTGCAGCACACGCAGCCCCACCGCCGCCATCTTGCCCTCATCCGGGGACTGCGCCTGGCTCCGCCCCCCCTCCTCTCCCTCGGAAACGGGCCAGAAGGAGGCGGAGCATTGCGCCTGCGCGGGACAGAGCGCGAGAGCGAGAGAAAGAAGGCGTTCGGGTTGTTGGGCGTTCCTTTCTGGACCTCGGTGACCGTTCCGTCGCCCCCGCGAGGGCCGGAGGCGCATCGGCGCCCTTGAGTGTCTTGGCAGAAGTCGAACACGCGGGTCTGAGCTGCGGCGGCGGCGGTGCAACAAGCCAACTTGGCTAGTTCAACCTTGTTTGCATACGGCTCAGTGACTCCCGAAAAGGGAGTTACAGGGATTCCCCAAGTAGGCGAGGGTCGTGTGAACCCGGCAGCCTCAACACCCAGCCTTGCCCAGTTGCCCGCCGAGGCTCCCTTGCTTGGGGGGGGGGGGCGCCCCCTGCAAGCCTTCCCTTCACCCTCCAGCGGCATTGCACGGCGAGTCCCATCCTCCCCAGCCGGCGGGGAACGATGGGAGTTGCAATCCAAGCTAGCCGCAGAGAGGGACTCTGCTTGCTGGGGAGGATGGGAGGCGGATCCCTCCCGGGGCGGCTGCTGCAGGAGCGGCCCCCGCGCTCCGCCCGCGAGAGGCGGGCAGTGTCTCCGTCCCGCCTCGGGAGCAGTAGCTGCGGGCGATGGCGGAGGCGGCTGCAACCGGGCGGGCGCCCCGCTTCTTCCAGCGGCTGCCCAAAGTGGTGAGAGCCGGCCGGGCGAGGCTCCTGCTCGGCTGCCGCTCCGGAGCTGAAGCTGCGCCCGGCGCTTCGCAGCCCTCGGGATCCCGCACGACCCTCCAGGGCTCTCCCGCGGGTGGCGGGTCGGGGGTCTCCGGGGAAGGAACTGGGGGAGAACTCAGGCGAGGCTTCCTCCCCCGGTCTGGTCTGGTCTGCTAAGCCTTGAGCTCCGGGCGGTGTGCGGGGAACCCAGTGGCCATCGGGAGGGTCCTGTGGTTGCGAAAGTGTGTGAAGGGTTAAGAGCCTCGCAGGTCCTAAGCCAACCTTTTAACCTCGGTGCCCAAGAAGAAACTGAAACCAGCATGATCGTTGCAGCTGTTTGCAGCTGTTCTGCTAGCACAATGTATTCAAGCTTGGCCTCCGTAGGATGGGTGGACTTAAGCTGGCTGGGGGAATTCTGGGTCCATGTTAAGGCATGCTGGCTGGGGAATTCTGGGAACTGAAGTCCATGCATCTTAAAACGTGGCTGAGGAATTTGGGGAACTGAAATCCACCCGCCTTACAGTGGCCACGGTTGGAAAGCCCTGTGCTAAAACAGCGTTTCTCAACCTTGGCAGCTTTAAGATGTATGGCTGGGGGATTCTGGGAGCTCCATCCTAAAGATGCCAAGGTCGAGAAGCACTGCTAAAAAATTCACTGGGATTTTTCACCAATTCTTCAGAGCCTGTTAGGATGTAGAGACTCCTCACTCTTTTGCCCCCATTCTGGGCATCTGAGTAGAATTAAATTCCAAGGGAGGCACTTTTTAGGGAAAAGCTCAGCCAAGGGAGGGGGGGGGACTCGGAGAGGACAAATTCTCTTCCCAAGGTGCTTCCAGCGAGACAAATCCCTTTCTTTTTCCGATTTAGGAGCTTCACGCACACTTAAATGGCTCCATCAGCGATGCCACCATGAAGAAGCTGATGGCGCAGAAACCCGACCTTGGGATTCAAAAGGAAATGGTCGTGATTGACAAGGGGGCGAAAAGGACTCTGGAAGAGTAAGTCCAGCTTCAGTAAGTGCAGCTTGGGAAACATATAGTCCTCAATTTATGACCACATTTGGGATCAGAATTTCCATCGCTAAGCAAGGCTGGTTGTTAAGTCAGTCGTGCCCATCTTTACGCCCTTTTTTGCCACGGTTGTAAAGTGAATCAGTCATTAAGCGAATCAAACAGTCATTAAGCGAATCCAGCTTCCCCTACTGCAGAGGTTCCTCAACCTTGGCAACTTTAAGACTTGTGGACTTCAACTCCCAGAATTCCTCAGCCAGTCCACAAGTCTTAAAGTTGCCAAGGTTGAGGACCCCTGACTCTGCTTGCTTGTGGGGGGCCGGCTGGGCCGGTCACAAAAAGTGATCACATGACTCCGGGATGCCGCAACCATCGTAAATAGAGGTTGGCTGATGTATTTACAATTTCTCAGCTTGGTTCTTATTAACACCATAATTACACGCTTGTCCGTGTAGATGTTTCCAGATGTTCCAGTTCATACACCAGATGACCAGCAGACCTGAAGATATATTAATGGTAAGTTATGGTAAGCTGCCAAGGTGTGAAACCAACGGGATGGGACTGAATGGAGACCACTCTGGTGTGGTGGCCTTCTTAGAATCCATCCCTGGCATTTTTTTTATTTTATTTTTTTTAGGTAACCAAAGATGTTATTCGGGAATTTGCTGCAGATGGAGTCAAATACCTGGAATTAAGGAGCACGCCCAGAGAGGAGAAAAGTACAGGTAACGTTCGTCTCGGCTTCTCCAAGACTCCACTTCTAGAAATGTCATCTCAGCAAAGTTGGGCTGGTTTTGAAGGACCCCCTCTCAGGTGGTAGCCCAATTATTTCTACCTCAAAACAAGCTGGCCAAGAAAAGGTCTTGAGTGCATCTCTCGTTTGCACCTGGAAATAATCTCTGTTCTCCCTCATTTGCAGGGATGACCAAACGAACATACCTGGAAGCTGTCCTTGAGGGCATCAAGCAATGTAAGGAAGAGGGATTGGATATAGATGTAAGGTAAGTTAGGTCCTTAGGAGGCCAGATTCATAGTGAAAAATAGCTTGTTTTGGGCGTGGACTGAACCCAGGATGTGTGTTTTCAGTGACTATGGCTGAATCATAGCTTACCACATGATGCTAAGTCTTCCAGTTTATAACAGCAAATTCCCAGCAGAGACTGGACGGACCCCAAGTGAGATATCTCTCTTATTTCTTTTCCAGCAGGAAAATCCTTAGACTGCATTTTGTCTTGGTTTGCTTAAGGAAACCCCATTTAACTATTCACCATCTCTCCAAAATGCATTCAAAGGCCTTAGCCCTCTGCAATATTCAGAAATCAATTCAACTTTTAAGTTTCAACTTCCCCACTTCCTTGGTGCTATTCCTGGCTTCCCAAGTTCCCAGGGGCTCTTATACGTTTCAGATTTCTCGTATCAGTGGACAGAAGCAAGGGGGCAGCTGCTGCCAAGGAAACGGTGAAGTTGGCGGAAGATTTTTTGCTCTCCACCGATGGCCTGGTCCTCGGTCTGGACTTCAGTGGGAACCCAAAAGTAAGCTTTCTCGAAAAGCAATGGCTGAAGCTATTGGCAGTTTTTTTGATGGGTCTCTCAGATAATTATTTTAGGGGACTCACTTGATGTCCTTTTCTATCTTGAAGGCAGGACGTGGCCAGGACTTCTTGGAGCCACTTCTAGGAGCCAAGAAAGCTGGTTTGAAGCTGACGTTGCATCTTTCAGAGGTAACACTTGGATGCTGGCTAAGCGCTCTTCTGGGTTTGTGGTGAGAAGGTTAATTAAATGGGTTTGAGCATCGATCAACCTTGATTGGTCTCCCTGAGGAAGCTCTGCCCTTGATAGGATCACATCTGTGCTTGGAGAGAGGTCACCAGGGCACCTTCTAGTTGGTGGACTAGATTGAGAAGTAGGAAATCTCGAAGAAGGCAGGAGTAAGTCACACAGTGCCTAGCACTGATGATGCTACCTAGCTGGGTCATGAAACGTCTGCAAGACAACAAGCTCAGAGAGCATCAAGAACCACATAGTCGTCGTCGTCGTCATCGTCGTCGTCGTCGTCCTCCTCCTCCTCCTCCTCCTCCTCCTCCTCCTCCTCCTCTCCTCTAATGATGTTACATAGTTGAAATCCCACCAAACATCTTTATTTCCAGATTCCAAAGCAGGAGGACGAATCTCGGCTGCTTCTGGGTCTTTCCCCGGACCGAATCGGGCATGGGACGTTTCTTCAAACATCAGAATTGGCCACACAGGACCTGGTGGAGCTCGTGAGGCGAAACAGGATACCTCTAGGCAAGGAAGGACTTGGGACGGAAGCTGGGCGATGGGTGGTGGATCGGTCGGGGATGATGGAACTGCAACCCACCCCTTCTGCTGGGTAGACTGATCTTCTGTGCTAAGAAAAGCACTTGCTTTAGGTAAGTGGATCCTGTTAGCTAGAAATGGCTGGGGAATTCTGGGAATTGAAGTCCACCCATCTGAAAGTTGGCTGCAGTTGAGAAGCTAAATTGATTTTTTACCCCACCTTTTTTTTGCAGGTTGGCTTCATACTATTCCTTTTTTGCCCTCCCAGAACTCTGTCTGACGTCCAACCTGAAAGCCGAGACTGTGCCCTGCAAGGCTGAACACCATTTTGGATTCTGGTATCGCCTGGGTCATCCTGTGGTCCTTTGTGTAAGGGGCTTTGGATTCTCCCGGGAAGAAAGCGGGATCCCCTTTTCAAAAAACGCTACAGGCCCTGCGTGGCTGTCTAAACCCACTCAGTCCTAAAAAAATAAATAAATAGAAGTTTGCTTGAGGGGTCCTTGGTGATCCCTGAGCTTGGTTGTTTTCTTGCAGATGTTTCATTACCCAAACTAGGCAACATCATCAGGGCTAGTGATGACTAATACTGACTAGCACTGGTGATGTTACCTATTTTGGGTCATGAAAGGTCTGTAGGAAAACAACCAAGTTCAGAGAGCACCAAGGACCCCACAGTCCTCCAACTCCTCCTTCATTCTTTAAACCCCTCTCCCTTCTAGCACTGATGATGTCACCCTGTTGGGTAATGAAACGTCAACAAGAAAAGCACCAAGCTCAGAGACATCAAGGATCCCACAGTCCCCCTCCTCCTCTACACAAACCCCCCTCCCTTCTAGCACTGATGATGTTACCTAGTAGGGTCATGAAACGTCTGCAAGGAAACCACCCAGCTCAGAGGCCCCCAAGGACCCCTCATTCCAACCCTGAGCTGCAAAGAGTCTCCTTTGCTGCACCCCAAAGGAGCGTCTCACTTCTCGTGGCCTTGTTTCCTTCCTAGACGGACGATAAGGGCGTTTTTGCCACCGAGCTGTCTCGGGAGTACCAGATGGTGGCCGAGACCTTCCAGTTGTCTGACGAGCAAACCTGGGCGCTCTCCTCCCACGCCATTGACCACATCTTTGCGTCCAGCCACACCAAGACGAAGCTGAAGGAGCAGTGGCGGGCGCTGAAGCCAGCCCTGCTGGAGGAACTTCGCCGAGAAGCCCAGGACGCCAGTGGGAGGGTTTGTTGAGGGCTTGTCGGGTGAGTTTTCGGTTGGGTTTGTCAGTTGGATAGACACAGGTGGTCCTCAACTTAACAACCCTTCGTTTAGCGACCGTTCCAAGTTAACAACGGCCCTGGGAAAAGTACAAGTAGCCCTCAAGTTAAACGACCACCGTTGTGCCCAAAACCTGTGTGGCTAAATGAGATGTGTGCTGAGTTTTGCCCCATTTTATGACCTTTCTGGCCACAGTTGTTAAGTGAATCTGGCTTCCCTCCATTGACTTTGCTTGTCAGAAGGTCGCCAAAGCGGATCACATGCCCTGAGGACACGGCGACCGTCATAAATATGAGCCAGTTGCCAAACATCCGAATTTTGATCACGTGACGGGTGGGGGAATGCTGCAACGGTCGTAAGTGTGAAAAAAGGTCGCAGGTCACTTTTTTCAGTGCTGTTGTAACTTTGAACAGTTCTAAGTCGAGGACGATCTGTACTTAAGACCGTTCCTCGTACTGACGACAGTCACAGCGTTCCCCATGGTCATGTGATCCAAATTTGGGTGCTTGGCCCAAATATCACCTTGGTTTCCTCTTATTGTCCGGTGTAAAGAGGACCGGTTGAAGAAGGCTCATGGCTGTCTTAAACCTTAAGACGGGGCGGGTCTCAGTGGAAGCCTGTCTTTCCAGGGCACTAAGAACACAATCTCCCTAAAATGAGATTTTAACACATACACACACACACACACACACACACACACACACACCGCCAAGAAGCTTGATCCGCTTCCATGCTTTATATCTGAGCAGCAACTGGATTCCGAAGGGAAGCTGGAGAGACGGATCCTTAATGGTCCCCAATTCTGAATGTCCCCCCCCCACACTTTTGCCTCCCCCCCCAGCCAATTCCCCTGCCATCGCCCCCCTCCAATGTTTCCAAAGAGAAAATCTGGAGTCCGTTTCTCCCGGCCAGCTGTTCTAACCTGGGAAGTGGCAAATTTAATAAAGTCTCAAAAGGTTACAGGTGATTCCCGGGGATTTTCCCGTCTTTCTTTTTTTTCCTTCCTTCCTTCCTCGCTTTTTAGGAAGTCCAGAGCCAGAGACGGTCACACACTGCAAAGGGCAGAGAGAATTACATAGCAGGCGAGGGCCGGGATGCTAGAGTAGGTGGAAAGTAGAGGTAGGCCTTGTTTTATGACCATAATAATTGGGACCAGAACTGCTGCCGCTAAGCAATGCGATCCTTAAGTGAGTCATTATATGAACCATGCCCAATTTTATGAGTTTTTGCCATCGTTCTTAAATGAATCACATGGTCATTAAATGAAATTGGCCTCCCCCATTGATTTTGCTTGTCTCAGCCGCCTGGGAAGGTGGCAGAGGGTGATCACGTGAGTCGGGCTGCTGCAATTCTTGCCAAGTACTCAAATTGCGATCATGGGATAGATGCTGGGATGGTCATAACTGTGAGGACCAGTCGTAAGTCCCTTTTTTAGCCCCGTTGTAATTTTGAACACTGGCTAAATGAACCATTGTAAGCTGAGGACTTCTTGTATTCCCAAATGCCAGGATTTCTACAAAATAAGACCTGGTTTCCTAACAGCAACGAGGAAATATGATTATTATCATATTTATGACTCTGAATGGTTCGTGATAAGGCTGCTCTGCGGATTTCTTTCCTTTCCCCAATGATATTTTGGGGGGAAGGGGGGGTAACAAAAATGTGTCCAATTGGGTAGGTGGGCAATATGTAGATTCACCCAAAGCAGAGGCTAAACTAGATCTGCCTTTCTGGATGCCTAACCATGGTTCAGTTAACCCTGGGTATACTTTGCAAGCCGTCTTTCAGCAGGGTGGTCAGCCTAATCCTAAACATTGGCAGAAACAAGAAAAGCAAGGCATCAATTCATCAGTTAATAAAAAATATGAAAGATGAGAAAACAGCTGGGCTTATACCTGGTCCATAGCCCTGAGTCCCGTAAGGGAGATAGGGCGGTATATAAATTTAATAAATAAATAAATAAATAAATAAAATGAACTCAGGTTGGGTTCACACCACAAGCGAAGCTAGCTATGGTGGTTTAGAGCAGGGATCCGCAAGGTTGGCAACTTTAAGACTTGTGGACTTTAGGAATTCTGGGAGTTGAAGCCCACACGTGGCTGGTTGAGGAATTCTGGGAGTTGAAGTCCACAAGTCTTAAAGGTGCCAAGTTTGGAGACTTGGAGCTTAGATCTTAGCCATGACTGGGCCCTTTTCATCAAGGTGCGATGAAGCCAAGGTTTATCAGAAGGTGCGTTTCCACCCATGAGTGATGAAGGACCTGCCTGAAGGACCCACAACATACAGAAGGCAGAGAGGAAGAAGAGCTATCACTGACCGAATGGTTTCCCGGCCGCTCTCCAAGGCTTGATGGAGTTGACAACGTTGACGTAATTAATCCACTTTTGTTCCCAAGCAGGGCCGGGTCCTGAAAGGGAGAATCCAAAACTTTTCTACGGATCTACGTCAGGAACATACTGGTAGTCCTCACTTTAATGGATCCTGCACTTTACAACCTCCCGTCATGGTTTTACCTGTCTCCTGAGTCTTATCAAGGATCATTGCTCCCCGTTGTTTAATTGCTTCTCTCATGTAACCGTAGTTGTCTACAATCTCAAGGAGAAGAGAATAAATTAAACTCCCTTGGGCGAGAGCTGGTTTGTTTTTTTTTAGAAGTAATTGCTTAAATAAGAGAAACAGGAACCAAGGTGAACATTTTGGATGTTTCCTCATTTCAATAGTCCTGGTGGAAAGAGGACAGCCCAAGCTTTGGAGAAGTTCTTCAAAGATCCTTCTACTTCTGTTTGAATCCACCCATCATGGAGAGGGGTGGGGCAAGTATTTCCTTTAACAATGCTGGGTCCATGTCTGGATCCTCCATCCCACAATTAGGCCAAAGAAAATTATGCAGTAGAGCTGGAGAGCCAGGAGTAGTTACACTGGCGCAACATTTGGACTGTTGAAGGCCATTCTATGTCCAACCTTCTGCTTGAGGCAGAACCCTTGGACCTAGAGCATCCTAGAAAGATGGCCTTCCAACCTCTCCAGACACAGCCTTGTTCTCCAACTCAACCATGTTTGTCTTCTAATGCAATGTTTCTCAACCTTGGCCTCTTGAAGATGTGTGGACAACAATGCATCTTGAAGTCATGGCTGGCTGGAGAATTCTGGCAGTTGACGTCCACACATTTTCAAGTGGCCTCAAGCTTGAGAAACACTGATCTAATATTTAGCCCAATATGGTTGAAGCTTCCCAGTGTTGTGTAGTCATCTAAACTTGGAACAGTCTTCTCCAATCTGGAGCTTCAGAGGTGTGGAACTCCATTTCCCATCACTCTCAACCAAGATGACTGGGAATCCTGGGAGTTGAAGTTCAAGGGTCTAGAGTTGAGGAAGACTGCTTAGCTGCTTCCACAGGTCCAAGATATTAACACCCAAGCAGGGGGAAAGGCCAGACTTACAGGACTGGGAATAAAGAGATACGGAGATCTATCAGAGGTGTAGTCAGGAGCAATGGCATAAGGAGGGAGAAGTGGTCTGCAAGACACAAAACAATGACAAAACCCCAAAGGTCTATGTGATGTTAAATTCCCACTCTTTTCCAGCAAAATCAGTATATACAGATTGCCTCACCAATCCAGATTCTAACAAGAAGTACAAATCCTGATTCAACTCAGCCCACACAAAGATTGAATTCACCAAGGCACGGAACCTGGTTACCAAATCAACCCATTTCCTGCATTCCTACAACAGGTGGAACCATCAGCAAACCCAACAGATTCACAGGACATGTGCAGGGGGTCTCCATACTTGGCAACTTTAAGACTTGTGGACTGAGGAGTTTAATATTGGGGAATTATGGGAGTTGAAATCCACAAGTCTTAAAAGCTGTGAAGGTTGGAGACTCCTGTGCTAAGCCCCCCGCCCCACCCCGTGGTCTATAGGGGCAACTCTAACCTATAGCACAAAGCCATCCTGCATCCAACCCAGCCCTTGGCCGGCCCTATAAGTGAGTTGGGATACTGTGTGGGTGTGTTTGTGTATGTCTACCTCATTGCTGTGAGCAATGATCTCACAATGGATTGTACCTAGAGCTGCCCAGCCATTGTGGCATGAGATATTTACCACCCCAGGATGGTGGTAATCTCTCTACTAAAGCACGCTTTTTTCTTAAATGATTGAAGAATTATTCCATTCTCTAGTTTCCTTTCCCTTCCCTTTCGTTTCCTTCCGCTCTCCCTCCCTCCCTTGGGCTCACATGGAAGTAGACTTTCCTGTAATAAAAGCATTAATCAGGTGCAGATTGGGGATGTTTTTCCCACCTTGGCCAACCCTCCCTGCCAATTTTATCTCTTTTTAAAGAAAGCTAATATGGACCTCTCGGCTCCACCACCAGAACATGAGAATCTTCATCCGACGTGAGAGATGGTTTTAAGCGCAGGTGTTGTTTATTTCATGTCATCAAAAATGCCCTTCCTGCTTGGGTTCTAGACTAGGAAGCGTCTTCCGGACATGAGACAAAATGCTAAGAACTTCACGGGTTCCTCAAAAGTAACAGCAGAGAACAAGAGCGAAGGCCGTCAACCACCGCTGGTGGAACGAAGACAACTCAGGTAACTGCCCTTGCTAAATATATTTGCACGTAGATTTTTTTTTTTCAAAACAGACATTGATAAAATAAAAGCTCAAACGATACAGATAAGAGAATTGGGGTGTACTGTGAATTACCAATAAAGGAGAACATGTGTAGCTCAGAGTCGAAATGTGGAGTCCTTGGTTTTCTCTGAGCTTGGTGGTTTTCTTGCAGGCGTTTCATGACCAAACTAGGTAACATCATCAGTGCTACCAGCACAACCAAACTCAGAGAGCACCAAGGACGGCTCCAAAACAGAGTTTATTCATCCTTGACAACTTTGTTCCTTTCGTTGTAAAAGCCCTTTGTTCCGTCCGGCCCCCTGGGCAAACGCAAGACCCCAACGGACAGTCCAGCCATGGTGGCCATTTTGACGCTGGGCTCTGGGCTAACCACAGGAGTCTTCTCCCGGGCCAGAGTCCGAGCTTGCTGCCGTCGTTGAACCCAGGGGCTACTTGAGGGAGTGATGCTACTGTCCGAAGAGTAATCGGATCGTTTGGCCATCTCAGGACTGGTGCTCAGAAAGGCTCTTCCGTCCTCTGCCAGCGGAGACATCCTGGATGTTTTCCGTAGGGAGGAAGGACTGTTCCAGGGACTCGACCTGGGGGACACGTTTGGGCTCAGGTGGTGGTTTGGATAGGCCGAAGGACTTAATCTGTTGGAGGAGCTGCTTCTCCTCGGCATGGGAGACGTCGGATCGCTCTCTTGATCCGAGGAGCTGTTGGCTGACAAGTCTTCACCCACGTCTTGAAGCTCCTCGACTCTCCTATTCATCGAATGGGTCTTGGCTGGATCCTTGGCAGAGTTTTTGTTCTGGTTTTTCTCCTTGAGGACCTTCTTCTTTGGAGGCTTCGTGCCAATGAGGATGACCTTCATGGCGGCTTTGTCCGTGGTGCAGAACGAGTCGTGAGCTTTGACGGCAGCCTCCACCTCTTCGAACTCAACGATGGCGCATTCTTGAGTTCCCACCGGGCTGTAACGGCCACTGAACTTCTTGATATCCGGTGGAAGGTCCCTCCCGGGCTTGAGAATCCGGACAGACATGATGACACCAAACTGGATGAAGGCCCTGAGGAGATGCTCCATGACCTTCTCTCGAATTTGTCCGTTCTCCTGTCCTTCATCCACAGGGTGCGGATCTTGGGTTGGGGAGATATCGTAGACGAGAAGCATCCGGCTAGGGAGGTTTTCACCTGGGAACACCGGAACGGCGGTGCTTCGGCGAACTTTTCTGCCATCTTCGTTCATCTCCAGAAGGTTGGAATATTTCAGAGCATAAGCTGTGGTCCTCCAGTCCCGAGTCAGCTGTTTGATCTGGTAAGAAAGAGGAGAATATCTGAGCAAAGGCCGGAATCCTTCAAGGATGCCATGGATTTGCATCAGAAAAGAGCAGAAGACTGCAAAGAGAACCAACCAGTTAGTTATTTACATTTACGATATTTCAGCCTTCCCGGTTTGACACCACCCATATATACAGGGGACCATGGGTTCCAGAATTCCCAGAGAGAGAAAAGAATGTTTGGTTCTGGGCAATGCAGGATCCTAGCCACTGTAATCTGGGAATTGTGGTTTCCAGCTTGTAAGGCAACTGTGCCTTACTCAACAATGCTTTAAAAAATGTAACTCAGTAAAACATTTAATCAATCAAGCTTAGAACACGCACTCTTGATTTAGGATCACAATTGGGACCAGAACTTTCATTGCTAAGCAAGGCAGTCATTAAGTGAGTTTTGCTCCATTTTACGACCTTTTTTGCCATGGTGGTTAAATGAATCACATAGTCATTAAAGAAATATGGCTGTCCCTATTGACTTGGCTTGTCAGAAGTCACTTTTGTCTGTGCTGTCATACCTTCAGTCGCTAAATGCAAGGTTATAAGTCAAGGACTATATGGCTTGCATTAACCCATAAAATCCTGTGGTGGGTCTACCTGAGTTTATTTAACAGAACAACAGAGTTGGAAGGGACCTTGGAGGTCTTCTACTCCAACCCCCTGCTCAGACAGGAAACCCTATACCATTTCAGTCTCTTCTTAAAAAAACTTCCAGTGTTGGAGCACCCACAACTTCTGGTGGCAAGTCGTTCCACTGATTTCATAAAGTTGGCATGATAACAGGAGCGGGTCACCTTGGGCTCCTGGACCTAAATTGAATAAATAAATATATTTTGGGGTCCCTGTCACCCTCCCTGGAAATTAGGAGAATCAGGCAGTTCAAATGAGTATAAAGATTTACGGCAAGCTTAAGCTCTCTACAAGAATCTGACTACTAACGGTGAAGGGAAATGAGCGGGAGATAAGAAAGGCATGTCTTGTGGACACGCAGGGGCTCAGGACTGATGACATCTTTGACCCCCCCCTCCCCAAAAGCTCAGCCTGGTCATCTCCTACAGTCCCTTTCTCTCCAAGAGCTGTCTTGGATGATCAGGCCACGTCTCCCCCCAGCACTTGCCTTTTTGAACGAGGTCAGCAGCTTCACACTGACGTACCCCATCTTGTTCCGCCGGATGTGCTTCAGGAGGAAAGCGTCTCTCTCAAGATTGTCATCGGAGAAATAATATTCTACCTGAGCCACCAGCTTCAGGATCAGAGCGTGCTCGGGGGGCTTCCAAGCGGGGGACGAGTCATCCCCATCATTTTCACTGGGAAAAGGGAGAAAGAGAAACAGAGGATGAGGTTTGCCCAGGAAAAGGAAGGAGGAATAAACACATCAGGCCCACCTGGACACGTCCACCGTAACAACTGTGGAGAAGATTGCATAAAACTGGCTGGAAAATAAATAAAAGCGCATGTGTGACTTTCATTTCCAAGAATCTGCTCCTTTGCACATTCCTTGAACGTTGCTCAATGTGCTCGGGGTTTGGGGGCTGTGCTCACAGGCGTGAAAACAGTCTGCACAATTCCGCTGGGCTTCCAGCAGTGAGCAGGAAAGCAAATATGTACATATATATATATATATATATCTTTGCTCTAGTCTCTTGGCATCCTGAGCTCCCTAATATTTTGGAACAGTCACGGTATTTTGCAATTCATCTAAAAAAATAAATAAATTGTGTGCCTATGTGTGGGAAGTTTGCAAAGGAACATCTTGACCTGGGAAGGAAAGGAAATTAAGGAAAATAAACAACTGAAGGGACCCTCCCAGTGGGGATAGTTCTCAACTTACAACCATTGGTTTAGTCAAACTTTCAACAGCACTGAAAAAAAAGAGACCTATGACCAGTTCTCTCACTTATGACCATTGCCACATCCCCAGGGTCACATGATCAAAATTAAGGCGCTTGGCAACTGACTCATATTTATGACGGTTGCAGTGTCCCAGAGTCATGGGATTCCCCTTTTGTGACCTTCAAAGTCAACGAGTAAGCCAGACTCACTTAATAACCGTGTTACCAGCTTCAATGATTCACTTAACAACTGTTGCAACAAAGGTCGTAAGGTGGGGCAAATTTCACTTAACAACTGTCTTGCTTAGCAATGGAAATTTGGGCATCAATTATCCTCATAAGTCGTGAACTACTTGTACGGTGGTTATAATCCGCACCCATGCTGGCTGGGGGTTATAGCTGTTGTAGTCCAGCAATGCCTCTGGAGGCTAATGGGTCAGCACATTGCTACCTTCTCCAAGGTCAGAGAAGTTAGTATTTCTCACACTTGGCCCCTTTTAAGAAGGGTGGACTTCAACTCCCAGAATTCCCCAGCCCTTAAAGTGTCCAAGAGTGAGAAATGCTGGCTAGGGAGTTCTGGGGGAAACCGAATAGAAATAATAGAAATAGATCTTTATTGTCTCTTTATAATCAACCTACATTAAAAGGTTCTGCTTAAAGGAGGGACATGTTCATCTTTGGAGGACTCCATTCCCCCCTCCCCAGAATAAAATTCCAGAGCAGTAACTGACAGACAGACAGTTGTTGACCCAGGGAAGCTTTGCCGGGAACCAGATGTGGGGCAGGGCAGCTGTGCTGCTCTCCAGTATCAGATTACAGATGTTTCTCTGCAGCTGAAGCGCCTCCCACCCACCCAGTGCCAAGTCAGCAGACCAGCCCTTTCCTGGCATGCCTCCCCCCACTCCCTAGGACTAGGGAGTGGGTGGGGGTGGGACCCTCCCGTGGGTGGGGGTGTGGGACCCCTCCCAGCTGCCTGCCCAGCCTGACTTGACAGCGTCTGGCCCAGGAGGGAGAGGAGGGTTGCCAAAATGGTTGTTGCAACATCCGCCCGTCTTTGCAGCAGCCGAGCAACGCAGCTCTCCCCAGCCCGGCCTTGGCAGAGGGTGCCCACGTGGGCTTTGCTTGGGAATATGGCTGGGGGCGGGGAAAGGCGACCCACCATGGCCCCTTCTTCCTCCGCCCCTGAGCTCAGGCTGACATGATGCTCCCCTTCCCCCTCGTCCATCCGCCAAGGGCAGCTTTAAAACAAAAAATGGCAAAACTGAGGATTTCCCAGAAGGATTGCAGGCAGACGAGTCGGCTGTAATGCAAATTTTTTCTCCGTCTTTGCAAAGAGGGGGCGAAGAATCATTCTTCTTTGTTTTTCTGCCAACAACAGGCAGATGCTCAGTGCCCCATCTTCCTCGGCCACCCCGCCCGGAAGAAAATATCCCCCCCCCCCCCAATATCCTAGAAATGGAAGAAAGCTGAAAGAAAAGAAGCAGGCAGACAGACAGACATCCTTCTGCCTGGAGGGGCTTTGATTTCCTAGCAGCAGGGAAAGCACGAGTGTTTTAGCCCCGATCCCACCTGGTCCCGTCTTTCTCGCCCATGGCAAGTGCCATGTTGGTGCCAATAAGATACATACATACATACATCTATGTAGTCCTCGACATACCACCACAATTTGGACCAGAATCTCCACCGCTCAGCAAGGCAGTTGTTAAGCGAGTTATGCTCGATGTTACAGTGTTTTTGGCCACGGTTGTTAAGCAAATCAAATCACCGCAGTTGATCAGTGACATCCGATGGTGGGTCAGCGAATCCAGCTTCCCTCATTGACTTTGCTTGTGGGAAGCTGGCTGGGAAGGTGCAAATGAGGATCACATGCTGGTTGCCAAATGCCCAAATTTTGATCCTGCAATCGGGGTGCCGTGTTTGAGTCGTTCCTTCCAAAGCCTTTCTAACTTTGGTCACTAAATGAATGCTTGTAAATTAGAGGACTACTGCTATATCACGCCCAGGTTCATGTACAGAGCTTACACAGAGCTTCTCCAGGTCGTTTGCTGAATCACTTTGGGGCACAGGTTGGGAGTGCCTTTTTAAAAAAAAATGTACCCTCCATCTAATCTCTGGGTGGTCTTCCTTCCAAATACTAATCCGGTCTTGACACAATCAAGCTTTTCCAAATCAGCCAGGATGAAGCTGGAGAGACCACCAGCTTGGAAGCCTTCATTAAGCTCCTTCACAGTATCGGGAAAAGGTAGTTTGATAACAAACTGGGTTAATCCAACTCTGTCTGTTGGGTCTCTTGCTCCGGGACAGGCAGGGACCCCCGGCTAAGGCAATTCCCTGTGATGGAGGTCTTCCTATTCAAAGCCCCAGAAGAGACCTCCCTGGAAAAAACCCCAGACCCAGTGCCAGGAGGGGCTCCAAAGGGGGTGGGAGAGGGGGCCACAAGGTGAGCAATCCCCCCTCCCCGACCTTTTTATTGGCAGGAGGTCCCTCGGGACTTTCTCCAGCAAGCCACACCAGGAGAGAGCAAGATCGCGCCCAGCCTGGCAAACTCAGGACGACCCTCGTCCCGCAGCCCTCGGGGGGGGGGGAACAACCTGGCATCAAAACAGACCGCTCCCCAGGGATGCAGGCACCCCCTTTCCCTCCTGACAGCCGCGCAGCCCACGCTCGACCCTCGTTTTCGGGGCGGCATCTTCTCCCCACTTTTCAGCACCTTCCCCACCCATCCCCCTCCTTCTCGACTGCAGTCGGGGAGGGGGCTTTCCGAGGTCTCCCCTTATTCCAAGCCTGCCCTGGCGGAGCAAGAGGGGATCCCCGCCTCCCGGGACTCCCCCCGCTCCTCCTCCGTCCTTCCCTGCCGGGCATCCCCAGGCCAAAACGAGGCCAAGGCGCTAGTCCCGGGGGTCGCGCGCTACCTGGATTTGCTCTCTCCAAAACTGCTGCCGCCCCGCCCGAAATCGTCTTCGCTGCAGCTGCCGCCGCCCGCTGGGCTCGGACACCGCGGCTCGTTCTCCTCCGCTTCGGCCACCCGGATCTGCACCGGTCCCGCCGCTCGCTCCGGCTCCGGCTCCGCCATGCTCCAGCCCGGCCCTGGCGCTGCGGCTCTCCAGCCAGCCAGCCCGCCCGCCCCCGCCTCCGCCGCGCTCCGCCTCCGAGGCTGGGCCGGGCTGGGCAGGCGGGGACCCCCCTCCCCTCCCTGCACGTGGGAACGCAGCCCAGCCTGCCCGTGCAAGGCGGAAGGTCGGCTCCGGTTTGCGTCTTCTGCAACTAGCGGAGGCCAACCTCGCCTCCCAGGTCGCGGGAACCCGGCCTTAGAATATAATAGAATAGAATAGAACAGAAAGGGACCTTGGAGGTCTTCTAGTCCAGCCCCCTGCTCGAGCAGGAGAACCATTTGAGATAGGTGGCTGTCCTGTCTCTTCTTAAAAATATCTAGTGATGGAGCACCCACGATTTCTGGTGGCAAGCTGTTCCACTGGTTGATTGTCCTCACTGTTAGGAAATTTCTCCTTAATTCTAGGTTGCTTCTCTCTTTGGTCAGTTTCCAACCATTGTTTCTTGTCCTTCCCTCTGGTGCTTTGGAGAATAATTTGACCCCCTCTTCTTGGTGGCAGCCCCTCAAATACTGGAATATTGCTATCATGTCTCCCCTATTTCTTCTTTTCTTTAGACTAGCCAGACTGCCCAAGTCCCGCAGCCGTTCTTCATATGTTTTTTTCTCCAGTGTCCTGATCATCTTAGTTGCTCTTCTCTGAATTTTTTCCAAACTCTCAACATCTTTTTGTAGTATTGGTTGCAGTATTCCAGGTGTGGTCTTACTAGGGTTTTATAAGGCAAACCCGTGGCAAATTCAAATTTGAACTCGCATGGCTTCGTGTGAGCTAACTCTCAACCCGTGCTTAGCCTTTCTTGAGAACTTGACTGTGCACAAGGCAAACTCCGCCCGGCTTTGCGTCTTCTGCAGCAAGCAGAGGCCAGCCTTGCTTAGCAGATTGTGGGAACTCAAGCCTTGCAGAAGGCAAAGCCACGGCAGACTGAGATCTAACGGGCATGGCTTCATCAGAGCAATCAAAGGCGCTTACCTTTCTTGCGAACTTGGCTTTGCACAAGGCAAAACCGTGGATTCAGACCTTTGTGTGTCGCTGGACCCCATAAAGAAATCGGTGTTTCATTAGGCAAGGATGCTAAGCTAACCATGGTCTGCCCATCGTGGCTTCTGCAAGCAACTCGACCCTTAGGAGCACCCAAAGCAGGATCAGGCTATTCTCCCTGGCCTGGGAGGGCCTCCTCTCAAACCAGACTGGCGGGGCCGTGCATGGGCGCATTCCCTGACCCCGCGGCCCTCCCACTCGAATTGCAACCTGTTCCCACGCAGCGGCTCCACCCAAGGCGTTCTCTCTCCCCCCCCCCGTCCCAATTGCAACGTCCGGTTCATTTAGGACGGCGTGTTCGTTTTTTCCCCTCACGGATCGTCCACTGGGAACCCGAAGTGCTTATTGATGCCTCGAGCCCGCATCCCCTTTGCGCTCCCTGGGTGGCGGCTGTCGAAAGCGTACCCGGAAGCGGGCGTTGCCACGGCAACTGCCCGGCGGCTTCCGGGCGGAGCGCGCGAGAGGAGGCGGAGGCGGCGGCGGCCACTTCCGCGCTTTGTTGTGGCGGCGGCGGCGGGAGTGGTTGTCATGGTGCCCAGCAAATGCCGGCCCGCCGGGGTAGGAAGGCCGGGCCACACCGTCTCGGTAAGCCAGGGGGCCCCTTGAGGGCCGGGGACTACAGGTCCCATGGGGCGCAGCCGGGGGTGTGGAGCATGGGGCCTGTAGTCTTTCCCCTACTGGGGAAGGCCATTGTGAGCAGCTCCCCCTCCCCCACTTCCTCCTCCTCCTGGTCATTTAAAAAAATAAATAATGAAAAAATAATTTTGCTTTCCATGTTTCAAATTTTAATTCTTTAAATTTTATTTTAATTATTTTCTATTGTCATTTTAAATTATTTTTATTTTAATCCTTTTTTAAAATTTTACCTTAAATTAAAATGATTTTTTTAATCATTTTAATTTAATGTTTTAATTATTATTATTATTATTATTATTATTATTATTATTATTTTATTTTATTTTAATCGTTTTGAAACTTTTTTATTTTAAATATTTTTCTGTTTAAATATTTTCAGTTTTGGTACTTATTTGATTTTTTTAATTTTTTTTTTTTGTTAAAAATTTAATGCTTTGTGGTAGATTTCTGTTATTTTTTGTTCGTTTCATCGTATTGCTTTGTGTTTTCAACCCCTTCAGTGTCACTCATGTGAGATGGATAGCGATATAAATTTACCAAATAAATGTATTTGAAAAATTAGTTTTTTTCCCCCAAAGGTCACCAGAATGAAATACCCCCTATTTTATGCATGCATGATTCTAGCGACCCTTTTCACCCCATTTACCTAAAGCAACTCTCAGTTGAAATTCTCTTCTCCCTGTTCCTCTTTTAAACGTGAGATTCTTGGAGGTGGTTAATTCTCCTTTTTTGTTGACAGGCCAACAATTACGGAGTTCAGCTGGTTCTTCAAAGTACGTCGTCGGCAGAAAGAACCAGAGCTGTGAGACTTGAATTTTTTTATTATAAACATTTTAGAGAACTCCGAGGTCCTGACTGAAGTTGTGTAGTGAATTTGGTGTTTTGTGATGTCTTCTGATGTGGGTGCGTAGATGTGCTGCCTTTTGCTCTTTTATGGTTAGGCTTCTTGCATGCTTTATGTTGTGGAGAGCACATTTTACAACTCCCAAGCACATTCATCCCTGTGCTGGAATTAATAAAACTATCCTAAATAAAGAAGCAGTAACAAGATTCAGTCCTATTGAATGGGAAGGGGTTTGCAAAAAAACCCTTTGTCCTATTTTAGCCTTCACATGACATAATTTGGGACACGTCACTGCAACTCACCACTCCTCTTAAAATCTTCTGTGTTTCATAATCTCAGTGTTTCTTGGGCGAATCCGTTTTCTTTGGGTTTTCATAAGGTGCATAATGCCTTTTCCTTCTCACATTTTGTATTGCAGCTGGAGCTGAGATTGCACAAAGAACAGCCCTATCTCCACAACCGGTTCTTGCAGCATGACCTTGAAAAAAACCACCCCGGAAAACTAGGTATTCTTGGGAAGTTTGCTGTCAAAAATCAAGATTGCTAACAAGGGACATAAGAAACGTGTCTGTAATTCTCGCATTTTGGGGTGAGATGGAATCTCAGTTTTTTTAAAAAACACAGCAGAAAGCTTTTGTGGTGGCCTTTCGGTGGCATCGCAAAGATCACATTCTGAGATTGAGAAAGGGGATCACTTTTTAATTATTTTCACTTTATATATTTTGCTTGATTTTTATGCTTCAACTTAACGACCACAATTGAGCCCAAAATTGATGTTGCTAAGTGAGATATTTGTTAAGTGAGTTTTGTCCCATTTTACGACCTTTCTTGCCACAGTTGTTAAGTGAATCTGGTTTCCCCATTGACTTTGCTTGTCAGAAGGTTGCAAAAGGTAATAATAATAATAATAATAATTTAATTTATATACCGCCCTTCTCCCGTAGGACTCAGGGCGGTGCACAGCATATTAAAACAGATACAAACAAAATACATCAAAAAACAAAAAAACCCCATAAAACCAAATTAAAAGCCAAATATTGGAAGCTGTGTGTCAATTAAAATTTTCTTAAAATCATCCCTACCTAAAATCCNCACCCTGAGGAGGCCCGCTCTGTGGGAGCGTACCGGTCTATGGGAGGGAATCTGTGGCAGAAGGCGGTCTCGGAGGTAGCCAGGTCCAATGCCATGGAGCGCTTTAAAGGTGGTAACTAACACCTTAAAGCGCACCCGGAAGACCACTGGTAACCAGTGCAGCTCGCGCAGCAGCGGTGTCACATGGGAGCGACGAGTCACTCCCCACACCGCCCGCGCGGCCGCATTCTGGACCAGTTGAAGTCTCCGGGTGCTCCTCAGGGGGAGCCCCATGTAGAGAGCATTACAGTAGTCCATGATCCCAGGACAATGCAGAGGTCATAAATAGGAGTCAGTTGCCAAGTGTCTGAATTTTGATCACATGACCATGGTGGGGGGGGGAATGCTGCAATGATTATAAGTGTGAAAAGTCTCAAATGGTGGTCATGTGGCCCTGGGACCTAAAGGCATCCTGGTTGCCATGCTCTCAAATTTTGATCACATGACTGGGGATGCTGGGACAGTCATAAGTGTGAGGACTGGTTGCAAGTCCCATTTTCAGTACCGTTGTAACGGTTGCGAAATGAATTGTTATAAGTTGAGGGCTACCCGTAAGCTGTTGTGAACCACTTACAATTCAACAACATAGAGCAGGAGTCTCCAACCTTGGCAACTTGAAGACTTGTGGACTTCAACTCCCAGAATTCCCCAGCCAGCCAATTCCCCAGCCAGCCAACTTCAATTCTGGGAGTTGAAGTCCACATGTCTTCAAGCTGCCAAGGGTGGAGACCCCTGGCATAGAGGACTGCAGAATAGTAAATGAATGGTGACATAGTCAGCCCTGCTATTTTCAGAGGCTCATATATGCCCAGGAGTCTGAAAGGCTGTAGAATTTGATTAGTCTTTTCAGGCTTGAGGACAAATAATCTTTTTTTTCTCTCCTTCGAGCAGATGGAAGATTAAGTCCTTTGTCACGCAGTAAAAAAGTCTGCATCCCCATCGCAGCTAATTTTGCAGATATCCCTAGTTTGGAAGTGAAATACGGGCCGGGTTCTCTCACCGTCTGTGGAGACGGCTCTTTTCCGAACCCTTTGAAGTACCGAATTCAGCAGGACTGCCATAATGTCAGTGCAAATAGCCCAGGTAATTCTGCAGATCGACAGGGCTAATGCAACTATGGTCCAAACTGGCCAGGGAATTCTGGGAATTGAAGCCCACACATTTGAAAGCTTCCAAGTTGAAGGAGCTCTGTTCTAAACAGTTACTAAATCTTTGCCCTTGCCCGCTTCTTAGGGCTGAGAGAAAGTGACTGGCCCAAGGTCACCCAGCTGGCTTTGTGCTTAGAGCTCATGGTCCCCCAGTTTCTGGGAGAGCAGGGCCTTGGGCAGGGGGGTGGACTAGAAGACCTCCAAGGTCCCTTCCAGCTCTGTGATTCTAGCCTGGTGCCTTTAACCACGGTGATCCCTTCCTTTGTGACAAAACCAGGATGCTCCATGGGAGACTGGAAAGGCTGCCCTGGCTTAAAAAATTGGTCTGAATGTTGGTAGTTGAAGACATGTTTTCATTTCCCCCCTGTTAGATATTTATAGGGACACAGGATTTCCTTTGGTGTACCGCTCGGCAGAAGAGAAAATCCAGCTTTCGGACCGGATGACCCTCGAAAGGTAAAAATAAGGAGGGAGGGGAGGGCAACTGTCTTGGCTGCAGATGTTTGCAGCTGGAGATTGGCTGCAAACCTCTGGAGCATTTGGAGGGAGAATCCCTGTTTCCCAGGTTGGGAACTAACAAACGGTTGCAATTTATATTCTGCTTTAACAGATGGATTTAGGGAGCTAGGAAGACTTTCATTTTGCTCTTGTTTTCCTTCTCCTGTTTGCCACCTTCCCTTCTTCCTCTCCCCTTCTTCCTTCGCTTTTACAGTTTTTTTTAAACATAGGGTACTGTTTCAAAATCCTGGAAATTTATGCGGATATGCTTCGTTTGGTCGGAGGCTCACTTTGGTTTTAGGTTGCTGATTCCCTCCACTCTCCAAGGCCCTGTTTCTCAACCTTGGCAAGCTTTAACCGGCGTGGATTTCAACTCCCAGAATTCCCCAGCCAGCCAGCCAGCTCCAAAGTCCACACAGCTTAAAGCTGCTAAGGTTGAGAAACCCTGAGCCAGGGCCACGATTAGAGTGATCCCTGGGCTGCTAGCTACCCCTTTCCTTCTTAGAGCTGTGTCTGGAACTTCCTTCCCAGGCAGAAGCTGACCGTTTGCCCCATCATTGACGGGGAGGAGCACCTTCGGCTCCTGAGCTTCCAGCACAACTTCATCACTCGAATCCAGAACATCTCCAACTTGCAGCACCTGATCTTCTTAGACTTGTACGATAACCAGATCGAAGAAATCAGCGGCCTTTCGACCCTGAGGTGTCTCCGGGTCCTGTCGCTGGGAAATAACAGGTAAAGAAACAAAAGTTGCATTTGGAAAAGCAGGGCTCTTTGGGCAGGTTTTATTTCGTGGCTGGCCGGGCCCGAATTCAGCTGCTTTTGGTAGAATTCTGCTGCTTTTGCGGCAGAATCCTCCAATTGAGATTTAACCAGAACTGGTTTACTTTCTGAGCCCAGGCTAGATGGTTATTTATTTTATTTTATTTATTTAATTTAATTTATATGCCGCCCTTCTCCCTGCGGGACTCAGGGCGGCGCACAACATGTTTAAAACCAAAGATATATACAATCCCCCCCCAATAAAACCGAATTAAACCAAATTTTAAAGTTGTGTCTTCCAAATTCCTAAAAATGAACCCAATATAAAATCCTCCCTAGGTCAGGTCCGCTTGCTGAAAGAGCCATGTCTTGAGGGCGCGACGGAAGGTAAGGAGATCCGGAATCATCCGAATCTCGGGGGGTAGTTCATTCCAGAGGGTAGGGGCACCCACAGAGAAGGCCCTCCCCCTGGGGGTCGCCAGCCGACATTGCTTGGCCGACGGCACCCTGAGGAGACCCACTCTGTGGGAGCGTACCGGTCTGTGGGAGGGAATCTATATGTCTAGTGAGAGTCCCAAAGATGCTTTTTCAAGAGACAAATGGACTTTTTTGTTTTTCCTTGAAGACATTTCTCTTCTCATCCAAGAAGCTTCTTCAGTTCTGGATGAGAAGTGGAGCGTCTTCAAGGAAAAACAGAAAGTCTAGTTGCCGCCTGAAAAACCACTTTTGGGGCAGCCTTGACCTGGATGACTGAGAATCTCCATAGACCCAAGGCTGGTGAGAGTGTTTACCGTTTTTTTGTGTGAAAAGTCCTTGCTTCTTGCCGAGCTGAGGTCCTGCTCCTCTCTGGACGTCCACCGCCATCTCGGGACATCTCTCCATCTTTCATCTGGAGCCGTGTTTCCAGGGGGAGGAATATCAGGGCCCCCACCATATTACCGTTGCTTCTGAAAGCCCTCTTAAAACTCGCTCCAGACGTCCAGATACAAAAATGGAACAAGCCACCTGCAAACAAATAAAGATCACCTGCGTTCCTTCAGCCTAAAAATGTCAAGACCTTTGGATTAGAGTAGAATGGTGGATTTCCTCTGGGGTAACTCTCCACGCTCACATTTCTCCATTGGAGCAAACAGGACGGGAAGAGAACTTGGAAGCCTCCAACTGCCACCAGTCTGTGATTCCAGGTCATCAGGAGTTACTTCCTCTGCCTCTCCCCCCTCCCCCAAAGCCACACAAAAGCTTCCAGACCAGAATTAACCACCGAGCTCAGAGAGCACCAAGGACCCCACAGTTCAACCCTGAGCCACAAAGAATCTCTTCTATTGAAATCAGAAATCCCTTTTTCTATTTTTCTGCCTCTGACGTACAGACATTCCCATTTCACGCAGAGGTAAATGAGCTCTTACACTTCTGCTGTTCCAGCTTTCAAATGCTGCACTCAGACAGCCTGGAATTCCTGTCATAGGGCAAAAGATCCTTTAGCTCTTCTTGATTGATACCATAATGTATTTTTCTTTTTTCCCCCTTCCATCCACTTCAAATGCTTCTTCGCCATTGCAGAATAAGGAGGATTTCAAACCTGGATAATCTTGTAAACCTTGATGTCTTGGATCTTCATGGCAATCAGGTAGGATTCAGCATTTGCAGTTGGGGTGGGAAATAACTATCAGCTGGCAGTTAGTAGGGACTACTCCTTCCCTGCACCCTGGGTACAGAGAAGAGAGTATCCAAGGATTAGGAGGGGGGGGGGTAAAGGATATATCGGACAGAGTCCTGTCCTGGGCTATTCCTTGTTTTGCATACTCCGCTATATAGGAAGAGCACGGCTAGCAGGGGAATTCTGGGGCTTGAAGTCCCCAAGTCTTAAAGTTGCCAAGGTCAGATGCTTAACTGATAGGTGATTTAAACTGGGTTGAACTGGAGCGCTGGGAAACCAGGAACCTCTGGTTGGGTATTACTGTTCTTTATAGGCCATTTAGAGACATTAGGGGAATAAGCACATAGATGTTCTAATTAAAGAATGCACACGGCACAATTTCATCGCTACAGCATCCTGGCACATAATTTTGATCTCAGAAGATAAATTTCACAGAATCATTCTTTGACGGTGGGTTTTGGGTGGGAAACGGGCGGGTCCAAGAGTAAGTGACTCTCCCCCTCCCCCTCCCAGATTTCCCTCATAGAAAACCTGAATCACTTACGAGATCTCCGAATGTTGAACCTGGCGCGAAATTGCTTGACCCACGTCGGAAACCTCAGCGGCCTGGATTCGTTGCTGGAGCTCAACCTCCGCTACAATAAGATCAGATCGGTGGTGAGCCCCTCTTGAACCGAACCCGGCTTGCCCCTTCAAGGGGCTTTCCTTGGCAGAGAAGAAGATGCCCTCTGCTCAGAGGTGGGGGGGGGGCTGATCTGCAGCTGGCAGAGTGCTTCTGCCCCATCACTGAAGACTGAAACGGTAGAGGGTCTCCCGCTTGGGCAGGGGGTTGGACTAGAAGAGGGGTGTCAAACTCAATTTCATTGAGGGCCACTGTCAACGCTGCAAATACTATATATTCAGCATTGTGGTTGCCCTCGGGGGGGGCGGGTGTGTGTGGCCAGGGTGGGTGCAGCCTACTGGATGGGTGTGGCCTACTGGGTGGGCGTGGCCAGCTCTACATCATTTGCTGGCCACTTCCAGGCGATGGTCCATTTCTTCATTCCTCACAATGGGTGACCCCTCCCCAGCATGCACCCAGGGGGCGGGGCCGACACAACAGGGGGCTGGTTCCTCGCTGTTTCCAGACGGCCTTGTGGAGCTAAGACTGAATGCGTTTCAGCATAGATGGCCACCACAAAATTGTACATTGGCTCCCGGCCGGCCTGGGCCTAGGCCAAGGCAGCGGGGCCCATTCCCTCACTATTTCCAGGATGGCTTCATGGGCCACATGAAACCACTTCGCGGGCCGCATCCAGCCCCCGGGCCTTGTGTTTGACATGTCTGGACTAGAAGACCTCCGAGGTCCTTTCCCATAACTTCTGTTCTTGAGTGAGACATTTGTTAAGTTTGAGTTTTGCCCCCTTTTATGACTTTTCTTGCCTCGGTTGTTAAATGAAGCACTGCAGTTGTTAAATTAATAACACGGGTTGTTAAGTGAATCTGGCTTCACCGTTGGCTTGTCGGAAGGCCGCCAAAGGGGATCGTGTGATCCCGGGGCACTGCGACCGTCATGAATGGGAGTCAGTTGCCAAGCATCCGAATTTGGATCACCTGACCGTGGGGGTCGCTGCGACGATCGTTAAGTGTGAAAAATGATCCTAAGCCAGTTTTTTTCAGTGCCGTTGTAAGCTCGAACGGTCGCTAAACGAATTGTTGTAAATGGAGGACCACTTGTATTCTTCTTCCCTCTCCCCCCTCCCCCCACAACACACAGTTCTTCAAGCTGTTCCTTTCCAATACTGGAAATTATCCCATTTCTCCCTTCTTCTTTCCCCCACCCACCCGCCCCGACTTTATTCTAGCAAACAGCCGCAGGTGGGAGACCCACTTCTTAAAGGCCCCACCTGCCTGCCTGCCTGCCTGCTGCTGAGACAGTCCCTGCATGACTTGGCAGTTTGATGCGGGAAGAGCCAGCAATCCTGTTTTATTTTGCCTGCTGTTCATTGCGGCACATTTCCCCTCCCACCCCTCCTCCTTGCGCACCATGCCATCTCTCCCCACCCCTCCTGAAATGCTGAGACAGCACCAGGGAGAGACAGAGAGACAGAGAGAAAGAAAGAGAAGAGAGAGGGAGAGAGAGAGAGAGAGAGACAGAGACATAGAGAAAGAAAGAGAGAGAGAGAGAGAGAGAGAGAGAGAGAGAGAGAGAGAGAGAGAGAGCAGCCGGCCGGCCGGCTTTCAGACAGACAGGGAGCAGCTGCTACGTCTGGCACCCCGGCCTGCCTCCCCACCTCTCTTTTCTCCGCCTTCCCCCTCTTCCCCTCGCAAGCTGCACAGCGTGGTTTCCCCCCCCCCCCAAGAGGGCTCTGCCTTCATTCTGACCTGCGCCACGGAAGTCGCCTCCCATCAGGGCTGCGGGAAGGGTGGCAGGCACGAAGGGAACCGGCATGATTTCCTGCTCAGGAGTTCTGCCTTTCCAGCCGGCTTCGCCTCTGACTCCGACTCTCCCTTCGGTCTCTTTTTAGAAAGATGTGGACAGCCTGCCCAGCCTGCAGCGTCTCTTCCTCAGCTTCAACAACGTCTCTTGGTAAGCCAGAGCTGCGTGTTCTCCTCTCTCTCGCCTCTCGAGTTGCTTTCCTCCTTGGGGGATCGATCCCAGATCTTCTGCAAAGGGGCTTTTGGTCTAACTGGTAGGAAGAAATGGTCAGAATGTGTGGAACTTGTCCCGAAGCTGCTTTTCCCCCACAAAGGCAACTGGGCTTTTTTTTGTTGTTGTTAAAGGAAGTCCAGTTGCCTTTTGGAAAAAGCAACTTTGGGACAACCCTGACCTGGATGACTGAGAATCTCCATGGAAAATGTGGAACTTCATAAAGATCATGAAGCAAACGTGTTTCCAAACAAACCTGTTTTATGCTTTTTTAAGTGACAGACGGGAAGTTCTCTGCTTCTCTTTCACCGGCTCATGTTTGTTCGGAGTTCTGGTTCCTTAAAGGGGAGATGGGAAAATATAGGATGCCACGGGATCCAAAGAGAAAAAAAGCCTGCTCCCCGATTCTTCAGATTCAGGAAGATCTGTTGTGAGTCAGTATCATGCTCCTTGTATGAAAAAGTGCCAAGAAGGGGTTTAGGATACGCAGCCCATTCTCCTTCCTACAGGTTGAAAATAAAGGGAGTTTTCTTATAATTGAAGTTCCTGGGTTCCAGCTGTGCAGGTTTCCAGCACAGTCTTTGTTAACTAACATGCCTCCTGTTCCTTGCTGAGCTATTTTAGACTTCAGGGCTAATGCTTTTCTTTGCGCCCTTGTCAAGAATGCTGCCGTCCCTTGAAGTGAAAGGAGTGTGAATTCTTTTCTCTTTTTCTGCAATGCCTTATTTGTGTGGGCGTGTAAATGTAATTCTGTACTGCAACACCTCTTGATGATTGCGTTGCAGACTTAATATGTTTTGCTCAGTCTTCACTGAATCTTCCGGTCTCGTTTTGTAATCATCAGATGTTCAGCCAGGCCCCTGTCCTGGGGGTGATGGGTGTGTTGGGGAAGAGTTCATTCTCACCCTCTCAAAACTAGTTGGACACTGGGGGGTGGGTGGGTTTCCTTCCGTTCTTTAGATACGGAGCTGACTGACTTGTAACAATGATCCACGCCAGTTACACTTCAAATTGAGTCCCTCTGGGACTATTTTGTGACTTTAATGTTCTTGAGATTTAGTAGTACTAAGAGACATACCCTAGAGTGGAAGAGATGTTGAAGATCATCTAGTCCAGGGGTAGGCAACCTTGGCTCTTTTATGACTCGTGGACTTCAACTCCCAGAATTCCTGAGCCAGTATGGCTGGCTCAGGAATTCTGGGAGTTGAAGTCCACGAGTCATAAAAGAGCCAAGGTTGCCTACCCCTGATCTAGTCCAACCCCCTGTTCCAGTGCAGGAATTCATTATCACAGCATCCCTGAACAGAGACACATCCAGCCACTGCTTAAAGCATTGTTTCTCAACCACAGGAACTTCTTTAAGAGGGGTGGACTTCAACTTTAAGAGGGGTGGACTTCAACTCCCAGAATTCCCCAGCCAGAACAGAATTCTGGGAGTTGAAGTCCACTCCTCTTAAAATTCTCATGGTTGAGGAGCACTGTTTTCAATTCTTCCAGCAGAGAAGCTACTATCTCCTCAGGTGATCTGTTCCATTATCGAATTGCAGAAAAATGGAAAAGAAAACTGCTTGAAACCTGGCAGTATCACTTAGACACGAATACAGCAGCCTCCAGTGCCGAATCCAAAGAAGCTGCGCCTGATCCTACCACACTTGCACGGCCTCTGTGGTTTTGAGGGGCTAGGATGCTTCAGTCTTTGCCTGCTGAATACACACATAGCCCCATGCAAACTTAGGGGACCCACCCAGCCTTGCGATGGTTGAAAGACTGCAGCCTTTCCCTGGTCTGCTTGCAGTGGGAGGCAAGCTCTGCAGAAGATCATTTTCTGTTTTAGTGTGGCTGACATCATCCTTCCCGCCTCGCACTTGCAAAGTTGCATCTGGGCACTTTGGTGAGGATTCCTCTAGCCTAGCCAGGCAGAGCTGCTGTTGGAAAAGAGGTGGGGCAGGACCCAGGTTTCTTTGGAAGGGAGGGGGAACCCTCAGATTGCTAAGGGAGAGGAATCTTTCTCTAAGCTTCTGTAAATGTTAAGCCCCTGAAATACCTGGAGGGCAGGAAGCCCAAAGAAGCTGTAATAGCCATGTGAGCCTTTTGTAAAAAAACAACAGAGAACTTGTTTTCTTAAAAAAAGTACCATTTACTTAAAAAACTCTGAAGCAGAGTTGAGTCAAAGTAATCTCATCTGTCTGGGAGCAGAGATGTAGAGATTTCGTTCCATTCACTCAAAGCAAGGTTAATCTTGCCTTTCATGGGTGGTTTTTTTTTAAAATGGCAAAAATGTATGTATTTGGAAAAGCTTATACTGGAAAAATTCCCTGGGTGCTGAAACATAGGAGCAAAATGGTCCAGACTTGAAAAAAGGCCAGCTGCATTGGAAATGGAAAGTCGAGAAAAAGGAAAATTAAATGAAATTGCCCTTGATTTTTTTGGCTCATCTCTGCTCTCGTGAGAGCTTTCCAAGATCCTGCAATCCCACTCTGAGGCTGTCTACCTCTCTCAGCCACTCTCTGAGACTGGGGCTCCTACTCCTGAGTAGGACCTGCCCCAAGGAGCAAGGGGGGGGAAAGAATGCATTGCTGGAGGTGGCACTCTTATGGACCTGGAAAACTCCTTGGCATAGGTTGCCTCCTAGCTGCATTCTGGCAGTCGGCCATCATGCAGATTTCCCAGTGATGCTGACTTGGGAAACGAGCAGTCGCTTCCTTGCCAACCCGATTCCAGGCCCTGTTAGGTGGTCTCGAGGATGGCCCAGGGGAGGGCGTGGCTTGAAGGTCACCTCCCAAATGAACAGTTTGGACTTTCCATTCCATCCTACCTTAGCCTGGAAATCATGCTTAGGTCAGCCTTATTTCAATTACTTGCTTCTCACTAAGGGAGGGGTATATTTCCTTGACTGAATGATTGATGGATGTCGGTCTTTTGAGTTAATCCAGACAAGAAGCACCCCCAGAAGACTTCAATTCCCAGAGTTCCCCTGCTAGCAGATGCGGACATCAATTCCCAAAATTTCCCAGCTAGCAGGCTATGGATTTCAGCTCTCAGGATTCCCTAGCCAGCATGAAAGTTGAAGTCCACACATTTTAAAAGTTTCCCGAAAGTTCCTTAAAAGGCTTCCAACATTTTTTTCCTGATCACTTCCTTGCTTCAACGTCCGTCTCCTTAGCCTCCTTCGTTTAGCAGAATACACCGTTCAGAGACCCCACTATCTCAAATACTACATTATGCATGGTTCAGCTGGGTAGATAAATAGGTAAATAAAGAACACAGGTAAACACCGAGTAACATTGACAACCTGTTCCCAAACTGCACATTTATGTAACATGGGGGTCAGTTGCTGTGGGATTCTTTTAAGACAGGTCAGGGCCAAGCAGCTGCAGCTGTCTGAGTTTTTGTGGGCTTCATTTCTTCTTTCCCCCCCTTTATGTTCAGCGTGGAAGACATCCTGTGCCTGGCAGACTCGGCCTCTATTTCAGAACTCACCCTAGATGGCAACCCCATAGCGCAGGAGGCATGTTACAAGCCGACCATTCTCCATCGTATGATGCAGCTCCGACAGCTGGATATGAAAAAAATCACAGTAAGCAAGGACATTTGAGAAGGGTTTCCGGCAGTTGAGCACTTTTTCGGGTCCCCATTCAGCACTAGGGTATCCTTATTCTCAAAAGAAGACCAGGATAAAAATTCTCCCTCCCTCCCCTCCTCCCTCCCCCCCTCTTTTCCCCCCCAAAAAATTTCAATGCAATTCTTAACAAGCACTAATGATATTACCTAGTTCGGTCATGAAACATCTGCAAGAAAACCACCAAGCTCAGAGAGCGTGAAGGAACCCACAATTCTTAACTTAGCAGCATTACATTGAATTTTAAATGAAATGAAACATTTTGACAGCTGTAAAGTTTGGGGGGAAATGCCAAGCGGCCTTTGAATCTGGGGAGACAAGCCATTGCTTAAATTTAGGGTAGGCAAGGATTGCTCTTAGGCCATGTAAAGTCAGGATGAGGCTTCAGCAAGAGTCCTTGAGTTGCCTGCCACTGGTTGAGCTTTTAAATGAGCAAGATTTTTTTTAATAAGCTCTTTCACAGTTTAACTAGCCATTGTATTCTGGCCATTAATTTGCATGGCATTTTTCAGAGCAAAGAGTGTACAGTGTTCCTCAACCTCAGCAACTTTGTGGACTTCAACTCTCAGAATTCCCCAGCCAGCTTACCAAGATTTTTTTTTTATTTATTTTTTTTACTCAAGGCCCTGGTCTTCAATGCTTTTGACTTGAAACTTCTTTTGAGTTTATCTGGAATTGAAATGGCCAAACCAAGATTTGGTGCATAATGTCCATTAGGGGGCGCCCCTAACCCAATATAGAAGAGTTGATTCCTGTTTATGCTTATGCATGGGGATAGAAGGGTTGAAGATGTCCTAGTCTTCCCCTGATCTTCAGTGTATAAAGGATGATCCATGCCCGGATAATCTTACAGATCAAACAGGGGAGATGAGGAAGAGAGACAGCGAGTGAAAAGAAATTAGCAAATACACATTTGGAGTTATTTTCCGATTATTCCTGCTTAGAATCTTCCACGTTTCAGCTTCAGCCTTCCAGCCAGTTGAGGCCACAGACCTCATATTTAGAAGTAAATCTGGGATCAGAGCTGTTCAGAGTGATTGCAGTTATTTAAAAAGACCGTCTATTTAGGAGGTAACCTGTATAGGACTGAAACATTAGAAAAACCCTAATTAATATTAATTGATTTTATTTGAGAAGCATTCCCCCAACTGTTATAAAAATTGCAGTGGAAAATTCATTTTGAGGATTTCTTACTGGGAGACACAGAAAAAAACATTTTGGATGCTGGGAGGGACTGACATGTAACGGTATAAAAATGATTGTTGTCCCATTACTGTTATTCTCAAAACTTTCCCCTGTTAGCAACTGCTGTTCTTTCCTCTTGTTTGGTTTAAGAGCCAGCTGGGGGAAAAAAAGCCAAATGCTTCCTTGCATTTTGCAGCGTTGTGCAGCATGTATATTAAGGGACTATAATATTTGTTTTTCCCTCCAGGGATTCCCCTCTAAAGCAAAAGGATCGTTCCATCTTGCTAGGATGGAGTAATGGAGGCAGATGAGTCCTTTCCTTGGTGGGGGAAATCATACTAGGGAGCCTGACTCTTGATAAAAAAAAGACATTAATTGGTGATTTTAATGGACCCCTGACTTCTTTTGTGAGCCTTGGGGAAAAGTGGGTGCTTGTCTTTTGTTTGTGTTTGAATCCAGGAAGAAGAACGGCGCCTGGCATCCGTTGCCCTACGAAAAGAGGAAGAGAAGAGGCGTGAAAGTCACAGGCAGACTTTGTTAAAGGTATCTTTATGAGGATGCAAGCTAACAAACCTCGATTCCTGGTTATCTCCCATCCCAACAGCCCTTTCTTTCTTACGGTGACAGAGACAGGTTAGGGATGTCCACCACTGTCTCCTTCTGGCGTGATGGCTTCACCGCTTCCTTCCTTCTCCCATAACAGTCCTACAGTGGCCAGGTTTCCACCAGACTCAAAACTGTGGGGTCCTTGGTGCTCCCGGAGCTTGGTGATGTTCCTGCAGACATTTTATTATCGTACTAGGTAACATCATCAGTGCTGGGGTGGTGATACTAGTTAGTTACCTAATGAAACACCTGCAAGAAAACCACCGGGCTCAGAGAGCAGCAAGGACCCCCCACAGTTCAGCCCTGAGCTGCAGATCCTCTCTTCGGTCGAAACTGCTCAGCGATTCAGGGATTCCCGGGACGAGGAGCTCTCTGCCTTGAAAAGCTGCTCAGCTGCCAAGATCATCCCGAAGACTAAATCGGTGTTTTTTTCAAACTGGGCAACTTTACCTGCTCCAAAGTGTCGGTCTGGACTCGGTTATCTCTCCATCGCTTTTCAGGAGAAGAAACGGTTAACCATCTGCAACATCGCCCATCACTGGGAAATCCAGCAGAACCGTCTCGTCCTGAAGGTTTCGAACCAGGAGCCGGTCCAAGGCGAGGAGCCCTGTCAGAACAACAGGAATGCGGCTTGTGAATTTCCCGAGGAGGGCAGGTAGGGAATTGCCCAGGTTGCTCCAGGACTAGCAATCCCAGGTCTCTTTCCTCCAGCGGCGCCTAGTCCGGTATTCTCAAGCTTGGCAGCTTTCAGAGGCCTGGACTTCAACTCCCAGAATTCCTCAGCCAGCCATGCTCTCTCACCTAACCTCTAGCGCACAGGTCCCCAGCCTTTTGGGCACCAGGGACCTCTCTCACCAAGGAGAGAGGCTTTTCCGTGGACCGTAGAGTGTGTGGTTTTGTGTGCTGCCTGCATCTCACGGATGGGGCTTTGCTTGTTTGTGCGGCCCGCTTGCTGGCATGCTGTGGCCCGGTACCGGCCCACGGACTGGGGGTTGGGGACCCCTTCTCTAGCAGATACCAGGTACTTACGACCGCAATTGAGCCCAAGTTTTTCACACTTAAACAGCCACTGCAGCATTCCCACGTGATCCAAATTCGAAGACCTGGCGACTGGCTCGTACTTATGAGGATCTTAGTGTCCCGGGGTCACGTGATCCATATTTGCGACTTTATGACAAGCAAAGTCAAGGGAGGAGCCAGATTCACTTAACAGCCCGTGTCACCAACTGAACAACTGCAGTGTTTCACTTACAACCATGGCGAGAAAGGTCATCAAACGGGGCAAAGCGCATTTAATAAATTTCTCCTCGCTTAGCCACAGAAACTTTGGGCTCCATTGTGCTTGTAAGTCGAGGACTGTGTGTCGTTTCAAAACTCTTTATTTTTTTGCATCCGTTTTTGAATCCTGGTTTTCCTCCCCTGCTTTGCTAGCCCCCCCCTACCCAAACTGGCCACATTGTACAAAAATATACAACAAGTCGTGGGCTCTCCAACAAACAAGCGTGTTTCCTGCCAGATCCCACGGTGTGAAGCTGCTAATTCTTTGCGCATGACCGGCTCCCGTCAACACGGCCGCTCAGAGCAGCTTCCCCCTAGTTGGGCCATCTCTCTCTCTCTGGCACCTGTGTTGTTTTAAGGAGAAACTCTTCCTTAACTCTGACTCGGTGGTGATTCATAGGATAATTTCTGGAATTATCGGGGCGTGTGTGTGTGTGTGTGTGTCTCGTTGCTTTGAATCGGTTTGCCAAAGCCAATAATAATTATTCAAGTTTATTTAAAAAACAAAACAAAACAGAGATTTTTTTTAAAAAAAACTTCCTCTGCAGTAAAGGTATCAATACTTCTTTCAGGATTTAAAAGTGGAAGCTGTGTGTTTTGTGTGTGAGGAGGAAAGGCTAACATCGGATGTTCTTGCTTTGACACTGTCTTTGTGACCTTAACACTTAAGACAGGGCTCTTCAAACGTGGCCCTTTTATGACTTGTGGACTTTAACTCCCAGAATTCCTCAGCCAGGCATGCCTTCTGGGAGTTGAAGTCCACAAGTCGTAAAAGGGCCATGGGTCCCCACCCTTGGCATAGATCATGTAGGACATCAAGGGTGACCACGACAACTTGAATGGCATCCAGAAGACATCTGGTGAGCTTGACTCTGAATGTTGGTTCCTTCCAGGTGCCATTAATTTATCTGCCTTCTTTAAAGACCAAGAAAGCAGGACTTACTTCGGTTTGTCCCTCTGCTGCCTCCAGCTTTATACCAGAACCAGGCACAAACTGAAGAAGGAGGCCAGCTTAGGCTTCTGGTATTTCCTCCTCCATCCAGTTAAAGGAACATTTTATGAGCAATGTTATTATTATTAATTTTTTTTTTTTACCCAATTGGGGAAAGCCTCCCAAGCTAGTTTATTCTTAGTAGTTTCTCCATCATGAATGCCATATTTTTTTTTTTTTTACTCGGTCTCTCTCTTTTTTTTTTCCTGTCTCGTAAAATATGAAGTGTAAAGTAAATTTCCACATTCCTTCTGGAAACCGTAATTCACTTTCGCACAGAGGAAAATGTTGGAAGAATTAGCTGTCTTCATTCCTCTCGAACGAAAGCGGGTGTGCACGCACACAGAAAGCACGCGCTCAAATAAAACCACCCCAGCTAAGGTCCTCTGCTCCACTTTGATAGGCTCTGCGCCAGACAGGAAGACTGAGGCCTCCAGCTCCTCCTGTATTTCGGAAGGGTGCCGTTCAAGAAAGCGTCCTAGAACGAGGGGATTTGGAATGGCGGACAAAGCTTTCCCTTCTCCGCGGTTCAAGCAGGGCGTTGCCAGCGGTTTCTCCAGACTGCAGATATTTGAGCTTCTGTTACATTTCTATAAATCAAAATCACAGGAGCCATCAAACCATTGAGAAGAAAACAGCCTTTTCTTCGCCTTGACACGAGGCAGGGGAGCACAAGCCGTAGCTGTGGCCTTTAGGAAATGAGCCTTCGGTGGGCCAGTCCAGGGTTTCTTTGCCGTCCCTGGTTGGCTGGCTGAGGGAACGAGGTGGCTCCAGCCAGTCCCGAAGGCTGGGAATTGGAAGCAGGCCAGCAGCGGAGACTTGTGCCCTAACCCTCCATAAAGCATTCATATTCCTGATGGTGAGGATGTTGGAGTCATATTCTGAGCTCCCACAAGAGCAGGGGTCCCCAACCCCTGAGCCACAAACCCACTACTGGTCCGTGTCCCGTTAGGAGCCGGGCCACGCAAGGGAGCGAAGCTTCACATGCACGTGGGCAGGATCTAGGTAGCATGCGAAATCACACACACACACACACACACACACACACGGTCCGTGGAAAAAATGTTTCCTACAGAACCAGTCCCTGGTGCCTAAAAGATTGGGGGCCTCTGCACAAAAGTGATTGTTCACCCTTTGCAATGAACTCCTGTCCCTTTCCCCAGAGACAGTTGAATCTGAGGGTGAAGCAGTGTTGTAACTCAGGACGGGGGGGTGGGGGGTGGGGAGGTGGGATCCTGCTTCCCCATCTCTTATGTGCCCTACGCCTCAAGAATCTTCTTGGGGCCTTGCTGGGAAAGAGTGGGTGGTTTGAACCCAGCATGGAGCCTTCTCTAGTCTGATCTCCCAAAGGATGCACAATTCTTAAAGTTTACACCAGTATCCTGATGCCGGGAAACTTGGCCCTTTGTGGGACTCTGTCTGTCTGTCCCAGAGTCTTGGCTGCCATCCTTTAGGGGCCCAGAGAGTCCATGATTTCAGCATAGGTCAGGTATTTTGCAAGGAGAAAGTCCCAGATTAAGAACATGGCAATTAGGAATGGATCTTCGATAGATGGATTTCCTGCTTATTTCTTTATTTTTTGCAAGGAAGCAGATGGTTCATACACCCCATCACTATCTTGCTCCTGTATTGTGCCAGTCATGGCATTAAGGGACCTGCAGAGACCCCGTGCCTGTAAATACAATCAGTGCAACGAAATTAATTTTCAATTGTTCCTGGTTTTGCTAAGGCTTTTTAAAATTTCATTTCTGCTCGAGAAATCTGCACGGTGGGATTCAGAGAAGAACAAATTTAACCCACATTCAGTCTTTTCGGGGTGGTGACTAGGTAATATTTCCAGAAATAGATGCCAATCAGTGAAGTGGTTTTTGTTTTTTTTAAAATTGCTTTGGCACAAAGGTTGGATTCCTCCATAAATTACTTGGGGAAGGTGCTTAGAAATCAAACGAAGCTGGGGCACCTTTTGCATATTTGATACCGAAAAATGAGATAAAAATTAGTGCTGAACAAGGAAGGAATTCAAAACCGGGCACTGGGCCCAGCCGCCTCCTTGAAGCAGAAGATTTCCAAGGCACCTCAGGGCTCTGAGCCCAGCCTATGAATGTGAGATAAAGGAGGATCCCTGTTACAGGGAATGGCCTGCAACAAATAGTTGTAGTACAGGGGTCTTCAAACTTGGCCCTTTTATGACTTGTGGGACTTCAACTCCCAGAATTCCTCAGCCAGCAACGCTGGCTGAGGAATTCTGGGAGTTGAAGTCCCACAAGTCATAAAAGGGCCAAGTTTGAAGACCCCTGTTATAGTACAAGTAGTCCTTGACTTACGGCCGTAATTGTGCCCCAACATTTCTGTTGCTAAGCAAGACATTTGTTAAGTGAGTTTTGCCCCATTTTACAACCCTTTCTTGCCACAGCTGTTAAGCGAATTGCTGCAGTTGTGAAGTTAGCAACACGTTTGTTAAGCGAATCTAGTTTTCCCATTGACTTTGCTTGTCCGAAGGTCGCCCAAGGGGAACACGTGAACCCGGGACGCTGCGACCGTCCTAAATACGAGTCACTTGCCAAATTTTGAGCACGTGACCCTGGGGGCTGTTGCAATGGTCATAAGTGTGAAACACGGTCCTAAGTCGCTTTTTTCCAGTGCCATTGTAACTTTGAACTAAAGGAACTGTTATAATTGGAGGACTATCTGTATATTCCTAGCCTTGGATCGGAATTTTCCGCCTGGCCGGGGAAGGTTGATGACATTATGGCCTCTCTTCCCTTCCTCTCCCGCTCTGCTCCTGCGTAACAGTTCTTCTCTCTCTCTCTCTCCAGGTCTCTGGAGACCCTTTTAGGCAAAGTTGTGCCAGGTCTGGAGTCTCACCTGGTGGAAATAGACGGCGATACCCTCTGCCTGTACGGTTCCGGAGCTCTGGAATCCCTGGACCGGAATTGGAGCGTTCAGACGACTGGAAACATCGCTACCATCTCTTTTATTTTCATAGACTTTGATGAAATTATCCCAGTGCTATCGAAACTGAAGATCAAGTTCCCCAATTTTCTGGCAAGTTGCGCCTCTCCTCTTTGAACCCTCTGGGCAAGGCTTAGAAAGCCTTTGTGCCTCGATTGGTTCACGTAGAAGTAGAGTAAGAAACCTGCAAACCCAGTAGAATGACCAGGCATACGACCCACAGAATCCCTCCAGGAAACCCAAGGATACCACACCCAAAAAATAAATAAATACATTTTTCCTTTCTTAACTGGTACTCCATACCAGACGGAACGCCAAACGTGGAACTCCACTTAGCATCTTGACCACTCGTAGACCTCTGGCTCCCCTCTATCCATTGGCCTGAATCCTTTTTAGGAACCAAGTAAAATGTGGCCAGTGTGACATCCTGCAGGAAGCAAGTGCCACAAATGGCCTGTTTTGAAATCACAGAGGTGAGGCTAGGTCAGATTAAGGGCCCTTTTAAGGCAACCCTTTGTGCCCCCTGGGGACATCAGTAGATGGCTTCCAGATGGACACAAATGAAAATAGATAATCGGCCTCTTTTGGGTTTTTTTCTCCGCATCAACTATTATTTCAAGCTTGTTTCCTGTGATTAAAGAGCTGTAAATAGCCCTCAGGACTCATGGCTATTGATTAGGAGGTTCTCCCTGCCATTTTAAGGTCTGAATTGTTAACTCTCCCCACTTCTCATTGCAGTGAATATGTTGGGAGGAAAAAAATGTATAATTTACTAGCTGGCCAAGACAATGAAACTATCCATTTTTGGCTATGCTCATCTCAAACCTCTTTGACCATTGTAATCATAAATAGAAGAGAACCTCTCTAGCTCAGGGCTGAAATGTGGGGTCCTTGGTGCTCTCTGAGCTGGTTTGTTTTCTAGCAGACGTCTCATGACCCAACTAGGCAACGTCATCAGAGCTGGAAGAGAGTGAAGGGGAGGAGGAGGAGGAGGAGGACTGTGGGGTCCATGGTGTTTTCTGAGCTTGGTTTGTTTCTAGCAGACGTCTCATGATCCAACTAGGCAACGTCATCAGAGCTGGAAGGGAGTGAGGGGAGGAGGAGGACGACGACTGTGGGGACCCTGGTGCTCTCTGAGCTTGGTTAGTTTCTAGCAGACGTCTCATGACCCAACTAGGCAACGTCATCAGAACTGGAAGAGAGTGAAGGGCAGGAGGAGGAGGAGGAGGAGGAGGACTGTGGGGTCCATGGTGTTTTCTGAGCTTGGTTAGTTTCTAGCAGATGTTTCATGACCCAACTAGGCAACAACATCAGAGCTGGAAGGGAGTGAGGGGAGGAGGAGGAGGACTGTGGGGACCCTGGTGCTCTCTGAGCTTGGTTAGTTTCTAGCAGACGTTTCATGACCCAGCTGGGTCACATCCTCACGCTTCTCACGTCTTCCTCTGCTTGCCTCTTTCAGCACTTGAAGTTCAAGGAGACCAACCTGACGATGTTGCAGCAGTTCAACGCCTTAGCTCACCTGCGTCGGCTCGAGCAGTTAACAGTTGAGACTCAGGGAAACCCGGTGGTTACCTTCACCTTGTGGAAGTTCTACGTTCTGTTCAGGCTGAACCATTTTAACCTGCAAAAGATCAACGGGTTAGAGGTAAGAAAATCGACATTTCCTCACTGCATTTGTGTCTCAAGGCCAGGTTCTTTTTCCTGGCTTAAGGCAGATTTCAGACGCAGTTTCTTGGATGTTGTCTGGCCCGATAAACCGTGGCTAAGGCTAATGGGGGTTCACTTCGGGTCAAGCGACGTGATGGTTTAGTCTTGGGAACTAATACATTTCCTGAACAAGTTAGATGGGTTTAGATCAGGGGTCTCCAACCTTGGCAACTTTAAGACTTGTGGACTTCAACTTCCCGAATTCCCCAGCCAGACATCCCTAGTTGGGTCATGAAACATCTGCTGGCAGGGGAATTCTGGGAACTGAAGTCCACAAGTCTTAAAGTTGCCAAGGTTGGAGACCCCTGGTTAGGGGGTCTGGAATTTTTGCTGTCAATAAAATAGAAGTTTCTCCTGCAAGGAAATGTATTGATGGCACACGGCAATCGAAGAAGCACTTTGAGAATTTCTCTGCCTTTTTCTGAGGTTCGAATCACTATCGGCTCTTATGAGTTTTCATACTCTACTTGCACTGCTGACATGTGCAAATTCTTTGTGAGGCGTGCGTGTGTGTCTGTGTGTTTGTTTGCCAAATAAGCCAACAAATGTGTTGAGTGAACAGAGCAAAAATTCCAACAGGAAAAAACATGAGAAAATTGGAATCAGGAGTAAAGCAAAGTGCAATCGGGAAATGAAGGGAGGGAGAGATCACACCTCTTTCTTTCTTTCTTTCTTTCTTTCTTTCTTTCTTTCTTTCTTTCTTTCTTTCTTTCTCTCTCTCTCTCTCTCTCTCTCTCTTTCTTTCTTTCTTTCTTTCTTTCTTTCTTCTTTTCCTTCCTTCCTTCCTTCCTTCCTCTCCCTCCCTCCCTCCCTCTTTCTTTCTTTCTTTCTTTCTTTCTTTCTTTCTTTCTTTCTTTCTTTCTTCTTTTCCTTCCTTCCTTCCTTCCTTCCTTCCTGTCCCTCCCTCCCTC